GGTGGCCAAGGAGATGGCTGGTCCCTCCATCGTCCTCTCCTTCCTGGTGGCTGCTTTCTCATCGGTACTGGCTGGACTCTGCTATGCAGAGTTTGGGGCCCGTGTCCCCAAGGCTGGCTCTGCGTACCTCTACAGCTACGTTACCGTCGGCGAGATCTGGGCTTTTATAGCCGGGTGGAACCTCATTCTCTCCTATGTGATAGGTACGAGACCAGGCAGGCTGTGTGGGGCTCCTTCCAGCGCCCTGCTGGCACCACGGGAGGCTTCTGGGGGCAGGGTGTGGGGTGGGATCAGCAGGGAGGTGGGTGGCTGGTGCCAGTCTGCCATGGGCTCAGACTAATGCACAGGTTTGCCATCAACCAGGTACGGCCAGTGTGGCTCGAGCCTGGAGTGCAACATTTGACAACATCATCGGCAACCACATCTCCACCTTCTTCACCACCAACATCCCAATGCATATGCCAGGAGTGCTGGCCGAGCATCCAGACTTCTTTGCTTTGATCCTGATTTTGCTGCTTACTGGTGGGTATGCAGGAGAGTGGCTCCATGGTACCATGGGTGATGGCACAGGAGCCTGATGGGTCCTCGCTCACCTCTTCTGTCCCCACAGTACTGCTGTCTTTTGGTGTCAGTGAATCTGCCCTGGTGAACAAAATCTTCACAGCGGTGAACCTGTTGGTGCTGAGCTTTGTCATCATTGCTGGCTTCATCAAGGGAAACATCAAGAACTGGCAGCTTTCAGAGAGCCATGTCAATTTGTCACTGCTAGACACACCGGATGACATGTAAGCAACTGGGATCTGCCATAGGGCAGGCACAGGCCCTGCTGTCCTTGCACCTCACGGCAGCTGCTCTCTTGCATTTCTTCCAGGAAAGAAGCTTTTGGCTCTGGTGGGTTTTTCCCCTTTGGACTGGAAGGGATGCTGACCGGTGCTGCCACCTGTTTCTATGCCTTCGTGGGCTTCGACTGCATTGCCACCACAGGTACTGCCTTGGGTGAGGGTGGCGTGGGCATTTCCCCTGCACAGCCAGCAGCTGGTTGGGAGCTGATGGGGAGGATGCTCCCACATGGTGTGGGAAAACAGCTGGTCTCACTGCTCCTGGGAGGTTTCCCTGTGGAGTGTGTGTCTTCAGCTGGGCCAGACAAAAGGGCTCAGAGCCTGCCCTGCCCCAGGAAAAGTGGCTCATTACACCACATGATGGGAGCAGGGCTGCACCCTGCCTGCACAGCCAGCTCCCAGAGCAGCAGGGAGCCTTTTGACTGCTGAGCCGAGCCTGCCACAGTGCTGGGAATTGCTGGTGTCTCCTAGTTATTCCCAGCCTCAGGCAGCCTTTTTCCAAATGACTGGGTTCATGCAAAACTGCTGCTTCCTGGAGCACAGGCAGCTCTCTTAATTTCCTCTCATTACCCCAGAAATCTACTTAGTGGGTGGCTGGTACAGGCTGTTCTGCCTGACCTTGCCTGTGCCACCCTGCCTCCAGGGGCTGCCCAGCAGTCTCCTCCTTTCCTGCTGCTGAGCCCCTTGCTGGGAGCCTGGTGCAGCACACCTTTGCAAAGCCAAGCACACATTCAAGGAGGATCTCTATTCAACAGGCTCTGTAGGGAGTGGGAGCTGATGGTAGGGGGGAAGGGCTGGCATGGCCAAGGGCTGGCTGCAAGCCCAGGCTGCCAGGCAGCTCCATTCCTTCTGCCAGTGCAGCAGCAGCATGGCCAGGGACCCCTCCTTTTCGACAGCCCCTGCTTGCTGCTCCCCTGTCCTGTGCTGCCATGGAAAGTCCCTACTCTGGCTCATCCCCTGGGGGTACTGGTCACATGCTGTGCAGTGGAGTGGGGCACATGTGGCCTCTTGTGTCTGCACAGGGGAAGAAGCCAGGAACCCACAGCGCTCGATTCCCATTGGCATCATTGTGTCCCTCCTCATCTGCTTTGTGGCTTATTTTGGGGTGTCTGCATCCCTGACTCTCATGGTGCCCTACTTCCTCCTGAACAAGAGCAGTCCTCTGCCTGAGGCTTTCAAGGAGGTTGGTTGGGAGCCCGCCCGCTACGCCGTTGCTGTTGGCTCGCTCTGTGCCCTCTCCACCAGGTAGGACTGCCATATTCCTGGCACTGCTTGGGGCACAGCACAGGGACCGACAGCATTAACCTGGCTGGGCTGGGGATTTGCTCTGTCCAGTTGCTGTCCTGCTCTTGGCACAGAGCTGGTCCCTTCCCGTTTTGGGTGGTAGATGTGGGCAGCTTGCCTAATCTCTCTCCACGACAGCTTGCTGGGCTCCATGTTTCCCATGCCCCGAGTGATCCATGCCATGGCAGAGGATGGGCTGCTCTTCAAGTTCCTCTCCCAGATCCACAGTGGCAGAAAGACCCCTCTGATGGCCACCTTTGTCTCGGGGTTCTTCGCAGGTAAGGCTCCTGGCCACATCCTCACACCCAGCCCTGCAGTGGTCTGTGGCGGTGTTTGCGGGTCCCCAGGATGAGGGAAGAGATGAGAATCTTGACTCCCTGTTTCCAAAGGCTGATTAATTATTTTATGATATATATTATATTAAAAGAAAATTATATACTAAAACTATACTAAAAGAATAGAGAGAAAAGAGACATCAGAAGGCTAGCAAGGAAAGGAATGAATAATAAAATTGTGTGACTGCTCACAGCCTCGACACAGCTGGCTGTCATTGGTCATCATGTAAAAACAATTCACATGAGACCAATCAAAGATGCACCTTTTGGTAAACCATCTCCAGACCACATTCCACATCCATCAGATAGTTATTGTTTACATTTCGCTTCTGAGGCCTCTCAGCTTCTCAGGAGAAAAATCCTAGCGAAAGGATTTTTCAGAAAATGTCTGTGACAGTGGTCTGGAGCTGTGCTCATGCTGCTTGTCCTCATTGCAGCGGTGTTTGCCCTCCTGCTTGACCTGAAGGACCTGGTGGACCTCATGTCGATCGGCACGCTGCTGGCCTACTCCCTGGTGGCGATGTGCGTGCTCATCCTCCGGTGCGTGACTCCTCGTGTTTGGCGGTGCCCAAGGTGGATGTTCCTCACACCATCCTGGGGGCTTGTAGCCACAGCTGTTTTCCAGGGGCATGATGCATCCTGGGGAAGTGTCAAGCCCCCAAGATGGAGGCTGCTGACCAGAGCCTGTGTGTGACTCTGGGCATATCCTTGGAGTGGCTGTCGCGGGGCCACTGCCGGAGCAGCAGGGATGTGAAGGTGCTGCCCACTGTTCCCTTGGGCTAGGAAGTTCTTGGGCTCTGCTGCAAGCTTGTCTTACCTGCTCAGGTACCAGCCCAGGCAGCCGAACTCCCCGAAGGCCGTGGAAATGCTGGAGCTGAATGGGAACGAGGAGGAGAGAGTGATCATGAACCCAGCCATCCGTGCTGCCAGTGCCCAGCACAAAGAGACCTTGTCCCTGGCGACGCTCTTCAACCCGCCTGGGGACACCCCCACCGTGCTCTCAGGGCGCATTGTCTATGTCTGTGTTGCGGTCATTGGTGAGTCAGTGGGAACTGGCGGCTGGTGTCCCCTCCTGCCAGGGCCTGGAGTGTTTTGGCGTGTCTCTGTAGAGCTGGGAAGGGATGGAGAGCAAGCCAGGCAGAGGAGAGGGGCCGGGTTGCCAGTCGCTGTTGGCAGTGCCAGAAGGTGCTGAGCCCTAAGCAAGGTGCCAAGTGCAGGGTACAGCTGTGGTTTGGGGTGCACATGCATTGTTGGAGGACATGGGTGCTAAGCCAGGGATGTGCAGGTGGTCATGGGAGATCTCTGTGATGAGCCTGACCCACGCTGGCCACCAGCAAGGGCAGTTCCCAGCCCCTTGAGAGTGCTTGGGCTCAGCCAGCAGGGTTTGATCTATCAATGGCTCCATTGTACAGCCAGAGTGGGGTGGCTCAGCCAGGTCTGGGTGAGCGTCAGAGCTGGGCCCAAGCCCAGCCAAGAACAGGCTCCCTGCAGCTTGCTGGTCTGGGAAGTGCCTCCAGCAAAGCACTTTCCTAAGGCTTTGGGGCGGGTGTTAGAGGCAGTGCGTGCTGGACCTGATCAAGAGAAGTGGGTGCCTCAGCAGAGCTGTGGGTGAGGCTCAGGGCCCCAGGGAGGCCATGTGCCATACAGTCCCCTGACAACCCCCTCTCTTGCAGCTGCACTGATCACAGTCATCTGCGTGGTCCTGACCCTCAGTGTGGATGCACTGGAGGATGCCAATGTGGGCTCTGTTGTGCTTCTGGTGCTGCTCCTCGTGGCCCTGCTCATTTTCACCATCATCATTTGGAGGCAGCCGCAGAGCAATGCACGATTAAACTTCAAAGTGAGTGCAGCCCCCTGCATCTTGGTGTCTGCATCCCCTGGACTCCATCAGGATCTGGGCATTGCAGGTTCTGCCAGGGCTTGCTGCCAGGCAGTCACCAGGAAAGCCCTAAAAAGTGTCTCTGAGGAGCAGGCCTCAGTGTGGAGGTGCCTGGGTGCTCTGGGCTGTGGCAGGGAGGGGGTCCTTCCACTGGCCAGTAGCATCCTTGAGCCCAGCCTGGTCCCTCAAGGCACAGCTGACACAGCACTTCTTGTCCCTTGCAGGTACCTTTCCTGCCACTGGTGCCAATCCTCAGCACCTTCATTAACATCCTGCTGATGGTCCAGCTGAGTGCGGGCACCTGGGTGCGGTTTGCTGTCTGCATGGTTGTGGGTAGGTGTCCCGTGCTGGGCAGTGCAGTGCCCATGGGTCTCTCCTGGGGGTCTGTTAGTGCTGCCAACCCACCATTGCACATTTCATTATGTAAACTGTCCTGCAGGTTTCATTATTTACTTCACCTATGGGATTTGGAACAGCGTGGAAGAGAAAAATTCGGAAACAGCCCGTGCCACAGCAGAAAAACCTCTGCACCATCCTGGGCTGGACCTCAGCCCTGGGGCTGCTGCAGTCTGAGGGCCTGGGGACCAGTGCTTCATGGACCTCTTTGCCACTTTGGGACAAGATCATGATCCAGACAGTCCATCCATCCGCTCTCCTGCAGAGACTGAGTCCCAGAGTGAAGTACTAAGGTCTGAACAAAAGGTCCTGAGTCAAAGCTGACCTAGGATGAACATCCCAACTGAATGTTGTATGTTTCCACTCATTAACAAAGTATTGTTACATGTACTTACTTATTGGCAAAACACGGTCACCTTTCTGTATCTAGAAACAGCCTAAGGCCACATCTGGCCTAACTAGGGGGTATAGGATCAAAGACAACTCCCTTGGATCCTCCTTGAGCCCTGGCCAGGCTCTGGGAGGAAGCTGACAGGAAAATGAAATTAGAAATGATGTCAGCTGGTTTGTTTAGCAGTGTAAACCCTGGGCCACTGTCACAGCAAAGTGGGGGAGCCTCGTGGCCTGCAGAGGAGGAGGCACTGCAGGAGTTCCCAGCTCCTGGCGTGGCTCTCCAGCCCTTGGCTGTGACACTTCCCCCCAGAGCTGATGTCTCTTGGGCTTGGATGATGTGTGATGGATATTCCATAATCACTGTAGGCATTCTTTCCTAGCAATGATTAGCATTGCTCAGCTTGTCCCTTTGCAACTCTTTGCTCATGGTTAGGTGCCTTGCTTAGCTTATCCTTTTGTGATTCTTTGCAGTTTTCCATCATAGTAAATGCCACTGTTCCTTAAGTTGGTGTCTGTGTCTCTGACCCTACTCACTAGCAAAACAAAATCAGCGTAGTCAGCAGGGTCAGAACAAACTGTTGCTTTTAAAATCTAAATTAAAGTAACCAGTCCTGTATGAAATTCCCAGATGGGAAGAACTTCCATATAGTTCACTGGTCCTCAGGTGGGCTAAGGTTGGAGGACCATGTGAGCAATGGGGAAGTCAGTTAAAAGAAGCTGAACTGTTGGATGTATTGAAACGCATCCAAAAATCACATACTGAAAAAGGAAAAGAACTTGTGGATTCAGAAAGGCAAGGATGGATTTTGTTAACAGTATATCAAACAAACAAAACACCAACAAAAGGAACAGTTGTTGAAATGCTCTAACATGAACCAACAGATGTGAGTTGCAGAATCAAATTGTAATGCTAAAATGCCAAATTAAGCTGCTTGCTGACAAGATGGATTTACCAGACTTGCTGAGAAGGCTGCAGTTAGAGTAGCTCAGTATAAGGAAAGGAGGGGGCAAGTGAAGCACAAGAAAATGCATGCAGTGATTGCAGAGGCAGGTGTGCAGTGGGATCCTGATAAATGGAATGGAGATATTTGGGCTGCTGTGGATTCTGATGAGGTTGGTTCCCGAGATGACTGTGTAGATGTGATACCAGCATGGAGACAAATGGTAGAATTAGATGCTAATGATCAGGAGGGATACTCATAGAGGATTATACTCAGCATGAATTAAATATTTGAGCAGTTTAGGAAAAAACAGGGGAACATCTTTTCTCTTGGGTGGTGTGCTTGCATGACCAGGGAGCATCAGGGATAACCCTAGACTCAGGGGACTCTAAGAAGTTTTTAGATTGAGTTTGGATTCTTTTGTGCAGGATGCATTTTGGAATAACATTTACAATACTAATTTGTTAGCTTCGGCTGCTTTGGATGTAATACTAAATACCCTACAGCAAATTATTGGCCAGGATCTGAAAAAGTCAGTGGTACACTTTGTGAGATTGTATACAATGAGATACAACAGAATCTCTTGTGATTTTCTATTTGTAGATAATGTTACTGAAGATATATTAATCTTCAGTAATGTTACTGAAGATATATTAGTCACTCCAATATTTGTACCTGTAACTTTATTGCAATGTTAGGCTTTTAGTTATTTATTTTTTTTCTATTTTTTAAATGAAGATTTTTAGTTTTTTACTTCCTGTTATATCCTGTCAATTTTTGGAACCTAACTATACCCTGATTGATGACTTGCAGCCTACTCCCATTGGTATGAACTGGTCAAGGTTCTGTTCCAACACACAGACCTGAGGCTTGCTGAAACAAGCCCAGGAGAATGGATAAAAGGCTTTGATTACTGTCCATCATGTGATGGAGAATATGGATGGTGGGACATTCTTTTTGGATGGGTGCCTACAGCTACCAGAATTTTCAACTGAGTGCTTCACCCTGGTGTTGTTTTATTGATGCTAATCCTTTTGCTTTTTGTTGTGATAATTGCATTGTATGTGTTAAGGTTTGGATGGTCATGAAACAATTACCTTACCAACTACCTCCACTGATACTAGACAATCCATGTGGTACCAAAGCATGAAATGCTCTCAAGCTCTATTTGGATATTGTGAAGCTTGAGTGATTATAGTCACAGGGTGTATTGTGTAGGACAATGACTGGGAACTCTGTGGACAGCTAACTGGGGGTGCAATTAGAGGAAACTGAGGACTTAGGACAGTTTGGAAATCGTAGGGTATATATATTCCTTAATTTGGTGTCTGTGTCTCCGACCCTACCTACTGGCAAAACAGAGTCAGGACTGCAGAGCTGGGTTGTTTGCTGCCTCTTCCCCTCACAGGGAAGTCTGGGTGGGAGTGCTGGTGGCCCAGGGCTGGTCTCTGCCCTCCTCCAGTCCCACAGAGGGGCAGTGACACCAGCACAGCCCCCTGGCCATGAAAATTGCTTTCTCTGTGCACGGGAGGCCCCACGTGATGGTGCAGCTGTATTCATTCCATCTGCCACGTAGCTGTGTTCACCACCTCCTCCCTGCCTTCCAGGTGCCAGATGTGTACCTGGCAGCCATGGCTGGAGCTCTGCAGGAAGGCTTACTGCAACTTGTTCTGGTACTCACAGTACTCTGGAACTCACTGCTAGCAAACTGGTACTGCCCTGACCATGCTGTTTGATGTAAATGTCTTGCTCAAGTGTCAGTGAGATGTCCTCAGTGTAGTTGTACTTGTGTCCAACCTCGTCTGCCTTTCTATAATTTTAGGGTGAATTTTTAAATCTATTAAATTAAATGTTTTTAAGTGCTTCTTCCTGTTAGTCTTGCTGTTAATGGCCTGGAGTCATGGGCTCCTTGGCAGGACCCTACCTGCCACTGGGCTGGGTGCCAGTGCAGAACAGTGCTGGGTGACATCCCTGCCCAAACCCTGCCCAAACCCTGCCAGCTGGAGCCACCAGTGCTCACTGTGAGCCAGGAGCTGTGAAGCAGTGCTTCAAACCAGCTCCAGACACTGCTGCTGGTACCTGGGGGGGCAGGAGAGCAGCCTGCCATGGTCCTGCCTTTCAGGCCATTGTGACACCAAGTTCCAGAGCAGTGGATACAGTAAAGGCCTTGGAAATAATCCCTCCTGGAGGTGCCAGCAATGGCCTGCAGAGGAAGCCTGACTAGAAGCTGGGCTGCATCCATGAGAGAAGATGATTTTCCAGATTTTGTTCTGGTCTAAATCAGATCTGACATAAGTATCCAAAACAAACCTAATTTAAGGCAGATGGACTGTGCTTGGTTTTGGCATCTCTCGCTGTTCATTGGCAGTGGTGCAAGGTCACTGCACGGTCAGTGCTGAGGTACCTGCAGCACCAGCTCTGCTTGGCCCCTGTGCTGGAGCTGGGAGCCCTCTCCCAGGGCTGTCCCTGCAGCAGAAGGGGCTGTGGCTCCTGCTCTGGCCCCAGCACAGGCACTCACTGTCCCAGTGTCCCAGGCTGCTGTCCCTGCCAGAGCCTCAGGCTCCAGCCCCCAGGCACAGGTGACTCTGTGGGTGCTGCCAGCCCTCCTAGTCAGGCTGGTGCCTCAGTGTGCCATGCTGGCTTCACCACCCCACCTCGTGGGTATCTTCTGGCCAGAGGCAGCACAGGGTCCCTGCTGAGCCCTGAGCCTGCCCTGTGCTCATTCACCCAGTTTTGGGTGCTGCTACCCAAGGCTAGAGGGCAATGGGCCTGTGATACAGCTGCAGCTGTCACCCCCTGCCTTGGCACTGCACAGCCCCCGTGCCTTTGTTTGTGTCTGTGTCCCATGCATGTGCACATCCCTGCCCATGTGCCCATGGGCACATCCCTGCCTGGTTACAGGCCATCCCACTGAGCTCTGCCATCCCAGCCTGGGCATCCACTGGGACTGGCAGAGTTCAGGGCATGGAGCAGGATTCTGGAAGCTCTGGACAGCTCCCACCATGGCAGCTCAGCAGGGAAAGCTTTGGGGAGTCAGTGCCACTGAGCCATGGCTGCAGCAGCCCTGTTCCCCCCCAGGCTCTGGGCCAGGCTCCTGTCCTTGGCCACCAGCCTGTGGGGGCTGCCCCAGCTCTGCACCTACTCTGGGGGTCCCTGCCTCCCTCTCTGTGCAGGCTAGCAGGGCTGCCAGGGATGGCACCACATCCTCTGCTGGGCAGCACCTCTGCCTTTCCCAGGCCGTGCTGGGGTTACTGCCCATCTCAGCACAGCAACAGCCAGAACAGCACTCAGAGCCTCTGTGTGTGTCTGCACAAACCCTCGGGGTCACTGCTGTACCTGCTGCCCCAGCAGCCTGCTCTGATAGCAGCCCAGCTCCATCCCACAGAGCCTGGGAGGAAAGCATGTTCCTGGGGAAGCCTGACAGGGGCTGGGGGCTGGAGGGTGCCTTTCCCCTCCGCTACCAGTCTGGGAGGGGCCCTTTTGTGGTTTGGGAGAATCAGCAAAAAGCAGAGCTTGGCTTTGCTGTTGGGAGGGCTGTGATGACCCACCCTTCTGGGGAAAGAAAGAAGGAAGGAACCACCCCCAACACAGCTGCATGTGGTTTGCCCTGGCAGTTGGGTCATTTCCTCCCCAGGCTTGATTTGTGATTTCCTCGTTGCCATTCCCCCCTGGATTGAAAGGGGAGCAGGAGGGCTGCTGAGTCCCACTGTGTCTGGCCCAAGCCATGCTGAGCAGGCAGGTGGCTGGGGAGGCTTCTGTGGCCACTGGCTGGTGACAATGTGCTCTGGGGTCATGCCAGGGATGCAGTGCTGCTGGCTTGGGCTGTTGGGGTGACTGCCAGCCTCCCTCCCCATCTGGCTTCACCACACCCCATGGCATTCATAACTTCATATCTTATCTGGACAACTTCATATCCAGCTGGTTTTGGGGGACATGGGGCTTTCCTGGTGGATCCTTCAGAGGAGCTCTCTGGACACTGGATGCCTGCCACCTCCAGGGGGGTACCAAGAGGCCATGAGTGTGGCCATACAGGCTGGGGGCAGGATGGAGATGGGGGGCTGTGCTGCTGAGCCTCTGGAGGCAGAGCTGCAGCTGCAGAGCCTGCCCCTGTCCCTGCACTGCTCCCTGGCCAGAGCAGGCCCTGGCAGGCAGGGATGTAGCAGCAGATTAAATTTTGATCCGCTTGGGAATTAAAATAGTCTGGCAAGTCTGCTCTGTTCTGTGACACCAAATGCTTCAATGTGAGGAGTTAATGTGCCATCTTCTTCCCTGTAAATCTGAGCACTGTCAGATCCCCTTCCCTGCTGGTGGGGCAGAGCTGCAGTGGCTGCTGAGTGGGATGAATCCAGCAGCAGGGCCTGAGTCCTGGAATCTAGGGAATTGATGCAGGCAGATGGGGTCACTGGTGCAACACAGCAAACTGGGATCAGCTCCTGACATTTCTTGCAGCAGAACTGGGTTGTGCTGCCTCGCAGTCCAGAAGGGCTCCAGGAAATCAAAGTCGGTGATGGGGGAGATTCTTATCACTCCTTTCTCACCTGGCTCCAGGCAGGGCCCAACCCTTCTGTTCTCTGTGGTGAGCTTAAGCACACATGACCCAGTCAGTAGCTGTGAGGAGCCCGTGTGCATCCAGTAATCCTCTTGCCCTGAGCTGTGCCAGGTGGCCAGCTCTCTATAAACACACAGGCTCAGTGCCCGCCTCTCTTTGCCTTTGCAGGCCTGGCATGATGAGCTGCTGCCACATGGCTTCTCTTCCCTTGTTCTCCTTTCCTCCCAGTGCTGCAGCTGCTGCCCTGGTTCCTGCTCTTGTCCCCCAGTCCTCACTGCACTTAGGCAAAGGGTGGCTCCTCTCACAGCCTGTGCTGGAGCTGCCAGCATGCTGTGATGATGCCTGCACCCAGCAGGATGTCACCCTGGAGCTTCAGAGGAGTCTCTCTCATGAGACAGCCGTACCCCCATGGCACCCACATCTCACTGAGGTGGAAGTGAGCCTGTGAGTGAGTGAGTGAGTGAGTGGTGCAGGGAGGAGATGGCAGAGGCAGCATGGGCAGTGCAAGTGGCACATTTATGGTGCAAATGGGTAATTTTCCATCAGTGTGGCCACTTCCTGATGAACAACCCCTTCTCTGCCACTATCAGGATCACCAAAGGCTGCATAGGTGTGCTGGTTTCCCAACCTCATACACAAGAGATTTCTTTGCTAATCATAGAGTTTGAAGGCTGTTACATCCTCCTGTCCTCCTTAAGCTTTCCCATTTTCCTGCTGTGTTTATCCAAACAATTATTCCATCTCTAATTCATATTCTCCACACAGGACCTCACACTGATGGTGCTTTGCAAGGCTGGATGGAAGACTGCTCTTATTTTTCCATTTTTATGCCAATGTCCTGTTCCATTTCACTGCATCTCAGGGCAGCCTGCACCTTGGCCTGGTCAATCCTGACATTTTTTAAACCTGCTGAAGGATAAACATGCAGTTCCTTTAAGACCTGTGACAGCTGTACAGGCACAGCCACCTGACTTGCAAAACAAACAGATAGGAGACATTTTGACAAACTAAATGTAACACCCCTCCCAGCTCAGTTATCAAGTCTCTGGGGTAATGTGAGTGTTAAACTAATTTAACTGCCTGGTCTGCACATAGGTGTGCAACAGTTTCTATCATCCTGGACAAGATAATGCATGAAAAATCATGACACGTTACTGGGCAGGGAGCAGCTGCTATTGTTTACATAATACAAACCAAATTTACAGACAGAATTTAACTTGTTCAATGGAATTACCTGCCCTGAGGAACCTACCTGAGAGGTTCTTGGGGACAGATCAAAAAGGGTTTAGATCTCATCTTGTTTGGACAGAAGAACAGGCTAGAGAGTGCTGGCCATGCTCATCTTAAAATGGGAAGAAATGCAGGGAAGGGAGTTCTTGGTTCCCTCCTCTCTTTAGTGATCACTGAGCATTTGTTATGTTTTACAGGCTACTCCAATTGTGGGACAGGTGACAGAACAGGGAAAACTCTCCTGAATTTTCTCAAGCTGCTGATATGAAACGTATGGACTGGTCTGATTGAGAGCATAAGCAACTTGTTTTTGACATCAGCCCTGAGCTACTGCACAGCAGGAGAGGAAAAGCCAGCAAGACAGAAGTGCAAAGAACCATGGTGAGACTCGTGCACCCTCCTAGAGTCCATCTCTGTGTTTGCAAGTGACAGCAGCTTTACAACACCAAGAGATGTGTCCCCCACCCAGTTTGTGTCACAGAGAAAGTGGTTCTGACACACAAACTGCAATTGCTGCAGGATTCAATGTTGGAGTGGCTGGATACCAGGTGCCCACCAAGCCACTTGTGTCACTTTCCCCCCTTAGGGGTGTCCCTACCCATGGCAAAGTGCTTGGAACTAGCTGGTCTTTAAGGTCCCTTCCAACCCAACCCACTCTGTGATTCTGTGATTTGTCCAGGTTGTGTGATTTGTGATTTGTCCATGGAGAGGGCTCACAAGCTAACAATAACCTGAACATGCACTTTCCCCAAAGCCCAGGAAACCTGGTGTCTCCTCCCTGCTAGCTGATGGAGACACAGTTGGTATCTTGATTACACCCATAGGCATGTGGTGACATCCCTGATTTTGTTCCCAAGAGCTGAATAGCTCTTGGGCTTCCCTACCTTCCTGCTGACTTTGGGCCCTGTTATGCCAGCATCAGAGCAGCCAGTAAGGACTCCACAGGGCTGTAATCTTTCCACATGTCTCAAAGTTCTGATGAGGGCAGACTGGGTGGTTTCTGCTTCTTGTCTGAATTCCCTCACTCCTTCCTGCATTTTCTTTTCTCAAGGACCAACGTCTTGATGGATCCCTTCTTCTCCCTCCTCCCCTAATAACTGGTGACATAGACCCATTGACTTCCATGTCCACTGGGTTTTTTCCACAACTGGGGCAACAGCAGTTCTTGTTTGGGCCCCTATCACCTCAGATGGAGTTTGTCCCCAGTCTCAATCAGGTTACTCTCAGAGGTGGCTGGGGTCCCTGAGTTAACCACAGCCCTCTGACAGCCCTGAACTGGGCTTTGCAGGCACATGCCAAGCCCCAGTACAGTGCCAGGAGCTGCTGGTTTTCACTGGGCTAGGCACCTTCTGTCAGTTGGCACGTCACTTTGCCAGGGTTACTTGCCTGTTCAGGTGTAGTCCCAGGCTATGGGAGGTGATAACTAGCCCAGGCATTTGCCCAAATCCTTCCACACACTCTGCCACCCACGGACCAGCTGCCTCAGGGCACATTTCAGTATTGACTCACCCAAAAATTGTCTTATACCAGGATGACACCAGATTACACAGACCCCATGATATGCCAACCATGTTAATTAGTAGCATTAAATATCTCACATAAGGCTGAGCAGGAACAATAAAGCCACCCACACCAGGTGGGAGTGGGAAATGGATCCTCTCCACAAGGCAGCTCCCCCAGCAGAGCAAGGCCATCAGTGCCAGGGCAAAGCACAGAGCCATGGTTTGTACTAACATGTTCCCAAAGCCCAGCAAAGTAAAGAGATAAGAAATGCAACCAGCAAACACTGTGGCCCAACAGGAGCTGCCTACTTAGTAACTACTATGGCTAAAGCACACTTAGCACAGCACAGCCATTGCCTCAGCCCCCACCCTGGGCACCAAACTGTGGTGGGCTGACCCTGCCTGGACACCAGGTACCCACCAAGCTGCTCTCTCACTCCCCTCCTCACTGGGAGGAAGGCAGGGAGAAAGGAAGATGGGAATGGAATTTGTGGGCCAAGATAAAGGCAGTTTAATAAAGCAAAAGCAAGGCTGCATGTGGGAGCAAAGGAAAACTAAATATTTATTGTCTACTTTTGACCAGCAGGAGATGTCCGGCCACTTCCTGGGAAGCACAACTTCAGTACACAGAGCAGCTGCTCCAGAGGACAGATGTTTTAGTAAGGAATGCCCCCCATCTCCCTTCTCTTAGTTATTACTGCTGAGGAGATGCCCTAGGGTCTGAATAGCCCAAGACCTTGCTCCCACCCCAGTCTGCTGGTGAGGTGGGAATGTTAGAGACAGCCCTGACACTGTGGGAACATTGTTCAAGAACAGCCAAAACACTGGTGTTTTATCAACAGCTTCCTAGCTACCAATACAAAACACAGCTCTACAAGGGCTGCTAGGGGTGAAATTACTTTCTTCTCAGTCAGACCAAATACAACTGTTTATTTAAAAAAATTAACAGAAACTTTTAACAAAATCACACCGAACAGTGAGGATCTGAAAAGCCAGGCAGCCAGCACTGGGGGCATCACAAAGAGAAATGCTCTGCAGGCCCTGACCAACCAAAGGGATAGATGTGCAGACAAGCACCTCCAAGTGGATGGTAAGACCGTGTCCACTTCTCTCATTCAAACAGTGATACTGTTTATTGAGCAGGTGAGGTTGTAAATTAGAAACCTGAATCTCTTCTGCATCCTCACTGGTGCCCAAGCACCTGGAGGGCTCCAATGGTGATAATGTTTTTTAAAAAGTTCAATTTGAAAGCAACCACAGCTGCAGTTGCAGCTTGGAGGCAGCCACCTGCTTAAGTGCAACATGAAGAGTATGTCATAGCATAAGGTGTGTGTGACATGCTGCATTTCTTCTTGCCCAAAATCCTACAGAGCTGTCCATTTTTCCCCTTTGTTGCCCTGTATCAGCACAGAACATCCTCTCTAGCTCAGGAAGAAGGGAGAATGAACACATGTATATCCACAGTCTAAGGAGAGTCACCTTTTGCTGGAACTTGGATCACTCCATACCCCATCCCAAATGTGAGAACAGGGCTAGCTCTGGAAGGACAGAGCCCTCTACGAGCTAGGAGCCACGAGGCAATTAATAGATTGCAGGCTGGTGATTTGCCTTCTGCATCTGGATGATCTTGCCAAAGCCACCTCTTCCCACATCGTAGTCTGTCCGGTATTCATCTCGCACCTGGGGCACAGCAACAACACACACATTAACAGCCAGCACTGCCAGCCCCCTGCCAGACCTCAGAATCATCATCCCCTCCTTGTTCAGTTGGTGGGGAACTGAAGTTCACATTAGAAACACTTCAACTCGTCTGAGATCTCTTCGACTAATCCACCAAAAAGGTGGTAATGGTGGTGAAAATGACCAAAAAGGACATATTTGATTGTTGAGATTTTTTTCAGGTAAGAAGCAAAGACTCCAAAATATTTTTGTTCAGCTTTTCAGTATGCTCTTCTGAACTGCCAGGCTTGGCCTTCAAAACACTTTATCTCATCTAAACCTCATCTTTGCCCTTGGGGAAACTGCTGTGTTATGAGATTGGCCTGGCAGCCACACTGCTTCTCTCTACTCAAATTCTGGATCATTTCAAGTGTACTAGCTTGGATTAGAGAACATTCTGCTTGCATTGCAGGAAGTTTGGAGTCCTAAACAAAAGTGGCCTTAAGTTCTATTTCCAGCCTTTATCACCAGGTGTCAATTACCAAAATAGCCTGGGAGTGAGTGACCCTGGTTATCAGGTCTTTACAGTCTGCACATTGTTCTCCCTGAGACAAAACCAGCAACTAAGTACAGAGTCTTACAGGACCGAATTCAGGGATGAACTGGCATTGCTTTTACCTGTCCTCCAGTCTTTCCTCTCCCATACTGCCTCCCCTCCTTAAACCCTGCGTCCCAGTCCGTGCGGATGATGCGGTCGTCCAGCCGGGTGCCGTTGATGAACCTCATGGCGTGCTCAGCATCTGCTCTTGTGTAATACCTGAGGCACTCTGTAAGGACAACTCAGGGTGCTTTTTGTTGGGCACAGGGAAAAAAATGAGGGAAGTATTGTATTTGAGAAGCTGAACTCCCCCCACTGCCTCCCAGCCTCTTCTGCTCTTCTCTATGGGATCAAAAACTGCACTCATGTAAATCCAAGCTAAGACCAGCTCAGCAAGGATTCTGTACTTTAATGTGAGTACCTGCACAGACAAGACCAAGACAATGGAACACAGACATTAAAGCCTTGCTAAGGGCAAGAAATCAGCCTTTTTGTACTATGTAAAACTTGACTGAAATAGAACAAAAGGAGAGCTTTGCACAGACAGCTCCTGGCACAACCTGTATAAGCGTGTACCCTCTGCTTGAAAATGCCCCCATGGCTTATCTTGCTACTTCCTTCAGGTGTGCAGTTGAGATGAGAAAGCAAACATGTGCTCTGGACACGGAAGATGTCAGGCTGATGACTAACAGTTCTCATTTTGGCCCTAAAAGCATTAAAGAAATTAATGAATTAAAAGGGGTTCTCTTCCACCTCCAGAAACTACAGCTCTGGTGGCACTTGTCACATACGGCACCACTATACAGTCAGTGTCGGGGTGCAGAGAGGAAGGTGCAAGGAGGGACAGGATGTGCCTGGTAGGAAGCACCTGGCTATCACCTTTCCAGCAGCAGCACTGATACACTTCCTGTGCAGAGGAACTACAGGTGCCAAGCACACCCGTACTGACAGCAGGGAACCAGAAAGGATACTCTACAAAGCAGAAGCCACAGGGGGTTTTCTTGATCTTGTCCAGACCCATGACAATCCTCTTGACATCCCCGCACTTGGAGAAGAGCTCCTGGATCTGCTCCTCGGTGGTGTAGAAGGACAGGTTGCCGACATAGAGCGTGGAGGAAATCTTCAGCGATTTCTCCTGCAGCTGCCTGCTACCCTGCGGGCACAGAGGCGCAGGCCGCGGGCTCAGCGCGCTCGCCGTGCCGCTCCCGCCGCCCCGTGCCCTCCCGCTGCCCGGTTCCTCGCACGGCCTTGTCCCGGCCTCAGCCCTCCCCGCCCCGGCCGGGCCCCGCCACCCGCCGCGCCGGGCGCACCCGGAAGTGCTGGTCGCGGTACTGGCTGATCTCGCAGTACGAGTCGCTGTTGAGCCCGCTGAGCGTGGTGTGCAGCAGCCCCGACATCGCGCCCGCCCGGGCCCCGCCGCCGGGATCCTTCCACAACCGCCGCGCACCGGACGCGGCGAGCGGCGCGCGACGGACGCCGCTCCGTCGCCCCGCGCGATTGGCCACATTGGCTGTCACTCGGGGCGGAAGGCGGGACGAAACAGCCAGACAGCCAATCGGCGGCGCGAGGGCCCGCCGGCAGCGCTGGGTCGGGGCGCGCAGGCGCAGTGCGCGGGCGCTGCTCCCGTGGCTCCGCGCCCCTGACGGAGCTCTCCTGAGGGGCCATGGCGGGGCCGCGGGCGGCGGCCGTGGAAGGTGCCACGGGCTCTCCCTTCTCGATAAGTGCCGTCACTGGCGGCTGATGTTGGGCTGAGTGTCACGCACCGATGTCCTCCTGTCTTTCAGCGCTCGTGCGGGAGCTGCTGAGGGAAGAGGCGCCGTCCCGTATCGCCGCCCTCACGGAGGAGCTGTTCCAGGCGGCGGAGAGCATCTCTGAAGAGGACGGGAAGGTGGCGGAGGGAGAGCCCCCCGCTCCCAGCCCGTCTGACGAAACGGGGGGTGCATGTGCTTCACACCCCACAGCCCTGGCCCAGGTTGGTGCTGCAGCTCCGTAAACACCAGCGGCTGCTGCTTCCCACCCGTGGCGGGGAAGCTAAAAGTGTAGCACTACTCAAATGTAAAGAAGAGTTCACTTCTTCGTCATTTGCCCCAATAGCGTGAAAGTCCGAAATAAAGTGGGAAATGTTATTTTTAAAAGTCAATGTGAAATGATGTTGAATGTAAAAGTGTGTGTGTCATTGACTCTGCATTGACCCTGCATTGACCAAGCTGAATCAGTTTGTGTTCTCAATGTGTTCTCCATGAAACCCACCTGGATGCTGTGTCCAGGTCTGGGGCCACCAACTTCAGAAGGTTGTGGACCTGCTGGAGAGAGCCATGAGGGTGATTGAAAGGTTGGAGCACCTGAGCTGGGAAAGACAGAAGGGGTTCAGCCAGAAGAGAAGGCTCTGGGGAGACCTTACAGCACCTTCAATGCCTAAAGGGGTTCCAAGAGAGCTGGAGAAGAACTTTGGGCAAGGGCTTGAAGTGACAGGAAAAGTGGAAATGGCTTTACATTGAAAGAAGGTTGACTTAGATTAGATATTAGTAAGATACTGAGAGGGTGTTGAGGCCCTGGCACGGGTTATCCAGAGAAGCTGTGACTGCTCCATCCCTGGAAGTGTCCAAGGCCAGGCTGGACAGGGCTTGGAGCAGCCTGGTCTGGTGAAAGATGTCCCTGCCTGTGGCAGGGGGTTGGTGGTCTTTAAGTGTGGTTGTGTTCACAGGGGTTCTTGGATGAGGGAAGAGATGAGAATGGTGACTCTATGTTCAGAAGGTTTGATTTATTATTTTATGATATATATATATTACATTATAACTATACTAAAAAGAAAAAGAAGGACAGGTTTTCTCAGAAGCTTGCTAAGCTAAGAATAGAAAAGAAAAGAATGATAACAAAGGCAGCTCTCTCACACTCTGTCCGAGATAGCTCGGTCCTTGATTGGCTATTAATTATACACATCTAAGATGGGCCAGTCACAGGTGGACCTGTTGCATTCTACAGCAGCAGACAACCATTGTTTACATTCTGTCTCTGAGGCCTCTTAGCTTCTCAGAAGGAAAAATCTTAAAGAAAGGACTTTTAGTGAAAAGATGTCTGCGACACTTTAAGGTCACTTCCAACCCAAACCATTCTATGATAATAATGGGAAAAATTACTGGTTACTGATGATGGTAAGGTATTTACTATTTCAAATTACTAGTAGTATCTAGTTGTAATTTTAAGTAAAAATGCAAGCAGAGAGCACTGATGAATTAAGAGTTTAGTACTGGATCAGAGGAGAGGTCCTTCTCACCCTGTGGATTCCCATAGTGACAGCAGATAACCCAAGGAAGAAGAAAACAAGCAGGCATGTAATTTTAACTGCCTGGTAAACAATATTCCAGTACACAATATTATGTTGGAGGTACTCATTTTCAGTCATTGTAAAAGTTTATCAAGTGGTTGTTCATAATGTTTGGTTTATTTCTCCTAGAGGAGTACTTAGAAAGAAGTAAACATCTACTTTAAAAGTCCTTTTACAAAGAGAAAACTGGTAATACATGAATCTGAAATAAGGAAAAAGACCAGCTGAGATATTGTCCAACTTCTTTCTCTAAAATTATATTTTCAAGAGACATTTAATAAGTAGCAATTATCAGCTAAGGAACACTGATTTTGGAAATCCTAAATTTGCAACAAGGAGCGTGATAAGTTAGCAAGTGTTGTAACAGAAAGTGCCAATAGTACAGTGTGTAAAGAAATACAAGAGCACAAAAGTGGTATCCTTCAGTTTTTCTGAAGCAGTTGGGCTAAATTATTTTTGAAGAAAGGAGAAATCATAAATTTGTCATCTGGCCACTTCAATAAGAGGGGCTATGAACTCTCTCCTAGACAGGCAAATATGTATTCATAGGCAAGATCTGTCATGAAAACTAGAATAAAGTGATGGAAAATCAGCCCCTCAGGGTGGGTTGCTAAAGCAGCTTATTGCCTTTATGTAGTACTGTATCTTTTAAACAAGAGTATATAGTCAGTAACCTTTGTTCTTTGTTTGCTAATATCTAAAGTTTCCCAGTGTAGGTATTTAAAGTAATTAAGCTACTTAGTGGTCTTTTTGATGTGCAAAAGAGGTGAAGCCTTACTACAGATAGTTCTCAAATGTGATAAGATTCTTAGAGTTCTTTTCCAAAGTTCAGATTTTAGGTGAAGAAATGCTACATCCATTCAGCTTGCCTGTTTTCAGGTCACTGTCCAACAGGTCCCTGTGGGATCCTGTGATAGTTTTATGGAAAACTCACACCTTTGGTGTGAAAGGGAGTTGTGTAAACATGTGGAGAAACCATTCCTGTGAAACACGTGAAAGATGCTTCTTTTTCCAGTAGTAAATTTCAATGGGATTCACATCCAGGGCAAAATTAAACTGAGTGGAATTCTCCTCTTCAGGTTGAAGAGAGTGCAGTCAGCTTGTGGAACTGGACAGTGACCAAACACACGGGTGCTGTTATCAGTGATGAGCAAAGAGCCAAATGTACGTATGTTCTGTACCTCCCTAAGGGTGTTCTGTGTGCTGCAGCGTGGAAACTAAACACTCTCTGCTGGCAGGATATACCTTGAAAGTAAAATGCACTTTAAAGTGCATTTTACAGTGCATAAACAGTGCTGGAGATTTGTTTGAGTCTTTGCAGACATGGGCTAGAAAGAGAAAAATGTACTAGTGGGCTTGTATAAACAGGTTAAGAAGAAGCATCCTGATGTAATAGTTATCTTCTTGTGACACAGAATCAGTGTAGGCATTCTTATCACTCCCCTTTCCATACCAGCAAAGAGGTGATGTGACCAAAGGAAGCTGTAATTTGCCTTCTGATGCTGTGGTTCAAATCCAAAAATGTATGGAAAAAACATAGATGTAAATCTTAGATTGTTGGTCACTTAATTTATATCCAGTGAGATTGTTTTTTTAATGTAACTATCTCATCCATGTTTGCATAGAGAAACATTCTAGGTCCTCTTTTCACTGACCTACTTTAGCCAGGTGCACAGCTGGGGGGTTCTCTTGGGCCAGAAGCAAGGCTGGGAGAAAGCAGAAATGAACTTTTGGTGTTTTCCCTCAGCGTGTTCTTTGTGTGGTTCTGTGGGATTGCAGAGTCAGGCCTACATTCTTGTCTTGAGGGATTATAATCAAAATGATGTATAATCTGCATCATATAAATTACACCAGGCAAAGGGAAAAGGGTAAGTTGACACAAAGTAGAGTGTGATGTTGTCAGATCACAGCTGAAGGGCCAGGGAGAGGCTCTTTTAAATATATTAAGTAGTGTCTTTTCCATCCCTGATGTCTAAGGAAGGTCTGAAAATATTTTTGCTTTTTACTTTGAAACTGTAAAGATTATTAAACTTCATTTCCTTAGTTTGCTGAAGGCTATTTTGAGGCTTCAAGAAATGTTACTGTAAGCACCTGCAATGTAATTAAATCTTTGAATACCATGTATTTAACTTAAACTCTCTCTAAATTGTTTAATAGATATTTTAATGAGAATATATATTTTTTTCTTACTGTCTGAAAAGCAATTTTAAACATCTTGGCTAAAATTCAGATTTCTTTGACTCCTGAAGCTTTCACATTTTCCTGTCTTGTGATTTAAAATGTCAGATAGTCTTTCAGATATGGCAGGGCTTGACTTTCTGAAAAAAAAAAATGAAGAAGTAGAGAGAAGGAAACTTGAATGGCTGCACTGTTTTCTTGCAGTGCGGTTTGTTGCCTGCAGACTGATTTGCCTTTGTGAGGGCAGCGATCCTCCGGAGGGAACTATTCGAAGACAGATTTTGGTAAGGCTAATTGTGGGTGTGTAATGAAATACAGTTGATCCCCCAGGGAAGTCTTCAAATCTTATTACATTTGCTTTGGAAAGGGAGTGAAGTATCCGTCTAGTTCTGGAAGGGTAACTGGTGTTTTGGCAGGAGCATTGCTGACTCTCTCTTCTCATCACTTAAAGATAAGATTGATGATCCCATTTTTTCCCTTTTAAAAAAACAAAGTACATGTTGAAGTGAGACCTGTATCTTACAGGGGTACCTTGCTGAGCCATTGGAGCTAGGAGTGTCTGGGCAGTGTGGTTAGCAACACATCTTCTCAAGGGTAAAATAGTTATGAGCAGGACATGTATTTATTTATCTTATAATATTGTCTAGTAGGCCACCATAAGTCTTATGCTGTATCTGAGTGTTCATTCAGAAGTGAGAGTTGCTGGTTAGATATTACAGAGCTGAAATACCCTTGTCCTGTGTTAGATATGTGCTACAACAAGATGAGATCTTACATTCCCCTTCTTGAAAATGACTGCATTTTCACAAAAGACCATTTCCTCCTTCAGATGTCTATGAAAACTGGGAAAGGATGGATAGATACTGGAAAAGCTGCTCTTGCAGATGGATTTCTAGAGAATGCCATGAATGTAAGTTCTTTCCACTTTTGATTTCTTGCATACACCCCTGTTTGTAAGTTCCACGGGTGATGCCTGCACTTTGTTTTGCAGAGTATAGAAAAGCTGTATGCCAAGTTACGGAAGGGGAGCGAGGGTGAAGCAGATATTCAAGGGCACAGAGCTGATGTGGAGAAGAGCCTTTTCAAAGTACTCTCTTACCAAGCTGAATCAGTAAGTGTTCTCAGTTTTCCTTCTAAGTCACTCTATACCTTGTAGAGGTATAGAGGGAAACTCTGACCCAGTTATTAGATACCTGAATGCTTGGCATTGAGGACTTGCTGAGGGATAGCTTTCCTTCACTTAGATACAAGATAGCAGATCTCATGTTTGCATTCAGTGTTGCAATCATTTAATGATTTTTAATTTCCCTCATTTATCGCAGTCATTCTTGCAGTGGTGTTTATCTCTTCTAGTTCAGATTTGTTGCTTTATGATTTGGCTATCATGGCTGTTTATAAAATAAACAGCTGCCTCTATGAATCATACATGGGTCAGTTCCAACAGTGTCCTGTGCTTGACTGGAGAACAAGGCAAATAACTGTAGTTTAAAAGACGTAATTTAGAAATTCTAAGTTTTGAGAGGAATTGTTTTTCCTTCAGAAGTGCCTGAGAACTCAATCAATCCTACAGAGCATTACAGACACAGAAGTGCAAATACAGAGAATGTAGTTCCTGCATTTGTTGGTCACACCACTGACCTCAGTATCTAGAATGGAAGTGCTATCTCCAAAATTCTCAGGAGCTACCCTAAACAGGACAAAGCAATGGCCAATATTTTAATTTGATCATGGAAACAAAAGGAGAGGTGGTATAAATTTTGCTGAGCTCTTGTATCATCCTAACACGTGAATGATTTTGTCCCATGTCTCTGGCCTTTGCATATTACCTAAGGACTGCAGTGATTTTCTGGATCTCTTGATCATCTGGCAATATGGAAAAATAGAATTATTATAGCACTGTAAGGACAGATACCTAATCCTAAACCTAGCTTTTCTGCATGTGAAAAGCCCAAGTCCTATTTTAAAGAATGAGGTTTTTAGTGAATTTTAAAGAGCAGTTGCACACTAACAGTTTGTTGGCATGCTGTGCTGCTTTCTCAGGCTGTTGCTCAAGGGGATTTTCAGAAAGCGGTGATGTGTGTGCAGCGCTGCAAAGATATGTTGATGAAATTGCCAAAAGAAGTAAGTGAAATCTTCCCTTCTTTATCATTGCAAACTTTGAGAACCTACTTTCCTCTCTGTATGTTAAAGCATGACATATACCATAGAAAATTTTGAAAAGTACTCTGAACTGAAGATCTCTTCTGCGATTGGTTGCCTCTTTCAGATTTTGTTGCTAAAAATTTTGTGTGGAAACAGTAGAGTTTTTTCAGAGTGCATTTTTTTATTGCTTCTCTTAGATTAAAATTTTAAATAGAATAATAAACTCTTTCCTAAACAATGAGAAGACAAATCAGCAAGCAAGGCAAAAAGATTTCTAAATTGAATGAATATACCACCTACTCTCTACAGAACCAGCTGCATTTTACATCTTGATCTTGTATATTGTATCTTGTACCCATGTGAACATTTGTCTGGGGACAGATGGGACAAGAGAAGAGCTGAGTTACAAAGTCACTGATATGCAAGTCTATCACTACCATCAGTACTAATCTTCATCTTCAGGAAACTGTAGAGCTATGAATGGTTTTTGTAGTAGTTTTTGTAGTTCTTGTCTCACAGAGAAAACAAACTATCATATGCAGATTAGTTTTTTGTTTGCAAAGATAAAAGTCTATTATAGTTATATCAGAATAAACTTCCTGACATTTATTTTCATTTGTTTACATGTTTTCCCAATATTTAAGAAACATTTTGTTCCTGTTTCTCTGGCACAGATAATAGAATTCAAAGGAGCAGATGCAAATTCTTAAAGAAAAATACGGGAAATATTGTTGGAGCTTATTTGTGTTTTTAACCAATTAAACTCCAACTGATTTTACATTGCTTTTTGTCATCTTCAGGCTATGTTCAAGTGTATCTGAGTGACTAAGTTGCAGGGGTCTAGCTTTGATTTGAATTATAAGAGCAGAACTTCTTACTGTTGAAAATGTTCACTGGGATCTTTCCCCTCCTGTTTTTAATTTAATTCTAAATTAATTTAATTCTTTCTGCTTGAACTCCTTCATTAAATAATATTAAACTTCTTGTGATGAAAGCTCTTCACAAAGCAGGAGCACTGATGCAGACAAGGTAAAAGTTCTGGTCATGAGAGAGTGATACAATTGACTTCTGATTTAAAAAGTGGTATGTAAAAAATGAGGAAAATGGAAAGAGCTAGTGATTGCTGAGTGAATCCAAATCTTTTGCACTGCTGGGTAGCTCTCAATCCTAAACTCTTCCAGGCTCTCATTACACCAGAGAGTCCTTGGAGATCAACACAGGGAGATTATTGTGTTGTGTGGTACCAGAGATCAGCTGGAGAGGATTGTGATCCTTGATAGTCTCTGAACCAATGCTCAGAACAGGAAACTTTCTCTCCTGGAAAGAAAACATTCACAAATGAACCTGTGAAAAATAAGGTTTCACATCTGAGAGTGATCTCTTTTGTCTTTATGCATATACCTACTCTGTGCTTTTGCTTCTGGATTGCAAAAAAAAAAAAAAAATTGAAACAAGATGTTGTCCTACCCTTCTCATTTTTGTCTGAGAATTTGAAATCTGCAGTCCCTTGCAAAAAGCATCATTTATATTTGGGAAAAAAAGATACTGCAGAGGCAAAATGGATGTAAATATTGGCAGCCTGCTGGCATATAAAATGACTTTTTGTCTCTTCTTTGGATGACATATGACAGCTGCAAATAATTTCAAAGAAATGACAAGTTGTTATGAACAGATGTTGTCAGGGCTGACTGATAAAGCTCTGAATAACCAAGCATTCAAAAGCAGTTTTCTTTTACATCTTGTAATCCTTTTTTAACCCCAAAGAGAAATGCTGGGAAGAAGCCTGCCATGAAACAGGTAGAGTCCTCTTCACTTAATTATGTAAAACATTTTTGTTATTAAAAAAAAAAGGTTATAGTACTACAGTTTTGGCTCTCAAATTTCATTTTTTATTGTTTAATTTCCACAGTTCCAGTGCTTTCAATGTGATTTATTGAGGAACTCTGTGTTCCTCATGTGTTTCAAAAATCCTGCTGTTTTGTGTGTCCTGGTCTGGTTAATGATACCTCACTTTGCCATGCAATTAATGATTCCATTTTAGTCATCTTCAGCATCCCCTTGCAAAAGGCCAGAAGTGATAGCAGTGGATATATCTTGAAAGTAAAATGCACTTTAAAGAACCTGAGACTGGAGTGCCATAGATGTAGTGATGTTTTACAAGAACATTATAGAAGCAGGAGTCTTTTATTCCAGACCTGTTACCTGTCAATCCTCTGTTACAATTTTGGAGTGGAAACCTATGAATGGAAGAGGTATGAACAGAGCTCCTTCTGGCTCAGGTAATGTGCAAAGATCAAATAAACAGACCCTTGATTCTGAGATGTAAAAATGTGTGTGAAGGAGAGAGGAGAGCAAGGGAAAGTAGAACTCTCAGTAAAATGTGAGAATACAAGATTTTAGCTGAACCAAATTATCTGAGCAGATATTTTGTCATGGTTGTACACTATTGCCTAAAATCTCGATTTGTTTTCCCACATGGATTTTCATGCCATTAGAATGAAAGTCATCTTCCAGTGGTTCTTGCCAATTCTCTCCCTAGCCCTTCCTCCAAAGGGATTAATTTTCTGAAGAGTCCTTGACTGATGAAAGGCACAAACATCAAGGTGCAAAAGGAATGGGTTGAGATGGTTTGGGTAGGATCCAAATAACTACTGTGGTATTACTAAGGATGAGGAAATGTAGGCTATGAGGAAGAGCATCCTCATGCCATGGTAACAGCCTCACTGCAGAAAATTTGTGTTAATGTCTTCTTGTTCTTTTAAATAGAAGAAAATGGAGGGCAACAGTCCAAATTCCAAATCATTATGGTTGTATCTGTTGTCAAAGAGGATTTGTAGAAATGCTCAGAATTAGTTACATCTGGTGCTTTGGAGATTATTTTATATTTTATTCCTTTGGAAAATTAAATACCGAATCCTGATGACAAAATTTGAGGAGGAAATAAAGCTTTGCACAGTGCAAATAATAATCCGGAGAAAGAGTGTGGCTCCATCTAGTGGGTTAAGATTTCCCTGGTCTGAGAATATATTAGATTAGAAAACAAGAGTCCAGTTACTGTTTTTCTTTCTAACAGTTCGTCATTCACAGCATTTGCAATCAAATCTGGTTTTGTGTAATTATCACTGTGTTTTCTCCTGGGTGGTTCTTTGTTCTGCCACTTAACTTCTAGAAGAAGAATGGGGATCATGAGTTACAGGTTCTGTCTTTGCTGTTGGTGTGCTGTGGTCTGGAGACCAGTCATGAATAGATTTTGTGTATTGCCATATTGTATTCCAGGTGAGAATGGAAACACTTGCTTCTTCAAAAGCTCTGTGGTTAAAATTGATAAAATCTACCAAAATGTTTGAATAGAAGATGTTACAGAATGTGCTGCAACAGGTTGAAGAAAGTGATTGAGTACAATTTTTAATGTAAGGGTAGAAGGAACCCAGAATTTTCTATTCTTTGGTAAAAGCGGCTACTGAGATTATTTTGTGTGGTTTATGTGATTTTTAACTGCTTAGGAAGTGGGAAAGGACAGGAATTTTGAACATATCAGAAGATTGACTGAATTTATCTCTGTCATCCTGTTTAATTCTAAATTCCATTTATCCTTGATAGCCAGAGTTATGACATTGGGAAGATGGACATGAAATATTCTGTTGGCAAAGAAATGCAGGTAAGAAATAGAGAAATTTCTATTTACAAATAGGAGCATTTTGTTAAACTGACTCCAGTGTATTATCTGCCTTTTCTGTGCAAACCTGCCCAGTGATGTCTTGGTCTCCTTTTTAGTAGTCTGCTGTGAAGTTTGGCAGAGTTTAAAGTTCAATTGTTACAAGCATCAGTCACTGATGAGTGCCATTAAATCACATTTGATTCTGCTATTTCACAGAAATCAAAGTGTAGAAAGAGGCTGAAGTAGATCCTGAAAGGGCATCTCTTTGTCCATTCCTCTTCTCTTTCAATACCTCATCAGTTGAGCTGTGTCATTTGTGATGGATGTTTCTCTGTCTCATTCAGAAGTCAGTTTATTCTTTTACTTCCGACTGCGGATATGAAGATTTTAATTTCTTCCTCTTTATGTAAATAATTTATGTATTTGAAGTCCATTGTCATGTAGGTCTTTGTCCTGCTTTTTTATTTGTTTATTTTCCTCTGTGAAACGTGTACCTCCTGCTATTTCAATTTCTTCTTTAATTCTTTTTTTTCCAGTTATCTGATTTTCCTTGCAACCCTTTGGTTTTTCTCTGAATTCTAGTTGATTCATGTCCTATGTGTACTGCATTGCTTCAAGACTGGATATATTTGAGATGTGAGAAATCACCTTATATGTCTGATACCAGACAGGGTTTTTTGCCTCAAAGAGCTTTTATTTTTCCTGGCCTTAGAATTTAAGTGATTTATGTTCATATGTATGTTTGTATGTGGCTATTTTTTTGTTCCCAGGCTAAAGTGCTGCGACTGTTAGCCACGACCTATTTTGAGTGGGATTGCAGCCTGTACCTGGACAAGGCATTGAAAGCCATAAACTTGGCAAATCAGGTACTAATTTTTGCTGTATTTAAAGATTGCAATAAATGAAACTCAAGCATTTATTGACATGGTAATATGGACCACATTAATCCCTGGTGTGTAATCCTTGACAACAGATTGAGATGTGTTTGCTTTATGTTTCCATGCTCTTATGGATATTTTGGTGTTCCCAGCTTTTATTTTTTTTTTGTAGATAAATACTTTTTTTGCATGTAGAAGTAGAGCTGCCCTCCTGCTTCCTGTGTGTTAGTAGTAAGGTCCTTTGATGATGGTGTGACTAAAATTTCTCAGATGTGTGAGTTGACACAGACAGGCAGCTGGGACAGCCACAAACCCACAGCAAAAGCACAGAGAGTAAAATGATTTCCGTTACCTCATTGTCTGGGGGATCCCCAAAGCAACACCCAGGCAGAGGCATGCCAGCAGATCTGAAAAATGAGGTGTATAAACACCAGCTACCCTGAAGGAAGTTCATACATCTCTGAGCAGCCATTTCAGCAAGGTATCTTGATCCTTTAAATTCTGTTTCCCATAGAGACCTGAATTAATTTTGTGCTTCTGTCTATTCAGGTCAGTATAAATTAAATTAAATCCGAAAAATTCCTATTTGTCTTTGGTTGATCATTAAAAATAATTAATTTTCTGTTTTGTACAAAACAAGTTTTAAGTATGAAATTTTGCTTTAAATGGAAGCTGAAATTCAATTTCTGCATGCTGCCTGAATTTACAGGAGATCATAGTGCATATGCTCATGAGATCAGGATAAAAGGCAGTGTATTTAGTTATGCAAATAATGTGCTACTACAGTATCTAAGCCTTTTGTCCTATTCTACTGTTTACTTTTGCAAAGCCTTTTGAGGCAGAAAGTGTTTTTATCATAATTTTTGATAATGTAAATTTTGATATTGTGTGAGGGTATGGAAAACCAGAAGAAAATGTTGATTCTAGAACCTGAAAAATGCACTATTTTAGTGAGGGCTTTAGTAAACAGTCTTCATTATTTCCAATTGCTCCCACTGTTGTTGACTCCTGAATTTCTTCTTTTTATAAACTACTTTGAATCTACTCATATTAATTCTAGATTAATCTAGCCAATTCACACACAGGAAAGCTGGAAATGTTTCTATCATTCAGTAATGTTCAGCTTCTATTTAAAAGTATCAAAAACGAGCCACAACAAACTGAGAATTTTGCATCTTTTGCTTTCGTTATCCTTGTGGTCTTTTGGTGGTGTAAGAATAAATAATAAAGATGCACATTGCATTTAGAAGAAATTATGGCATAAGTTGCCTACCACTTGCTTCAGTCATTAAAATGGAAGTGAAAATTTCAGTGGGGAGTATGTGATTCCTTAATATTTGTCTGTATTATGAATGTGCTGTACTCTCACAGGATCTGTGTTCTATGAGGAGCTGTCCAAGTAATGTATTGTTTTTCATTGTGCAGGAGAATTTGCACCCAGCAGGGTTTTTTTTGAAAGTTAAAATTCTTCTTAAAAGTGGAGCATCAGATGAAGATATCAAGTCAGGTATCACAGCTCTCCCTAGGTTTCATATTACTTCATATCCAAGGAGACTGCATGTGTCATACATAGAAAAAAAATGTTGTGGTTTTGGCAGAATCTTTATTAGCTAAATGTCCTTTTGGTTATGAAGTATGAGACATAGTACTCAGTGTTCACAGAGGAGGTATCCAGATGCTAATTTCAATAGCCTTGCTGCAAATAGGGGTGGGGGGAGGAACTCTGAAGGCTGTTAAAAGGAAGAGAGTGAAAATGTAGCAATGTAAAGCTCCAGTTTATTTAGACATATGCATAAGATTATGCAGAAGGGTGAAGGTGCATTGACTTACACAGTCAGCACAGAAGAAAGGCTGGTGAAGCATTGCTGTTCTCTGGATGGGATTTTGCAGATTTTGACCAAGAGACATCATGTACTGAGCAGTGTGTTATAAACCTCTATTACAAGAGTTTGTTTAAGTCAAGTAAACTCTTTTCTCCTTATTTCTCACATTTATCACTTGAGCAGAACTGATTCTGCTATAAAATGAGAGGATAAGAAAGTTTTTGGAGAGGCTTTAATATAGAAAGGATAATTAATGTGTCAGAGAAATTTATTTTCATAAATAATGAAATCTTAAGGAAGAGAGGCTTTGTACATTTCAGGTTGGAAAGCATCAGATCTGTAATGAATAATCTGAGAAATGAGGAACTTTTTTGCAGAGAGCTGAGGGCTTTGAATGCTGTCAGACTAGCAGAAATGGTAACTCCACATTCCTCCTTGGGATTTCAAGTAGCCAGTCATTTAAATCTTACAGTTTCAAATAAACATACAGTAGCTGACTTGTGTTCTTCAGTTTGAATTGTGAAACCATAGAGTTGCCTATCACAACACACTTGGCTATTGTTTAGTAACACTAAGCCTCCAGTCAGTTTTTCAAGCACATTTATTGAGTGGATGTCTCTTTTCTTGTATGGCTGGCAAAAAAGTGTGTTCTCTGTCTTTTGAGTGAAGATTCCTGCTCAATTTTAGGCATTTCACTAAAATCTTGTGTTGCACACTTGCATCAGCTGCCTTCAAATGCTTCTTTTAACAACTGTTCCATGTCCTTGTGTATTCCTTCTCTGATCTCATCCAAGCTACAAATGTATCTGTTTTGTTCTTAACCATTCAGCACAGAGTAACAGTTTTAAAACTTTATCTGAGTGGTGTAAAGCTGATACCTGCTTATCAGCACCAGTCAGTCCAACAGCTGATGCTCAGGGCATTATGCTGAAGTAGTTCCCAGTGCCATATGATACCACACCCAGCCTGAGCACTAACCTCAGTGTTAGGTTGTTCCTGCTGGATAAGGATGAGACATTTTGATAAAAGGCAGCTGGAGGCAAAAAATAAATAATTATTCTACAAAAGTTTATGCTGCTCCTGTTTAGAGAGACAGAGGGCTGGAATTCCAGGGCTATCAGCCTGTCACCTTTCTGTAGTGCTGCATTAACTGTACAGTGAAAGGAAAGTCAAAACACAATAGGTATTATTCTTCCATATGTTGTACATCTGTTATAGGGTTGCTGGGTTTTTTTTTTCAGTTTTGTTTCTGTCTTTCAAAGAAGGTGTAAGAGATAAGTGGTAAATTGAGCAATTAAGTGTCTAAGTTGATTACATAATCTCAAGTGCTTTGTGTTCTGTCTAGCTCTTGCAGAATTCACACACTTTGACATGTCTTTAGACTTCTGTTTGAATACTGCCAAACTGCTGCTGGAGCATGGAAGGTATGAAAGCATCTCTAAGTGGGGTAAACACAATGTTTGGAGGTTTTGGGTGTTTCTTTATAAGCAAAGAACATCTATTACACAATGATGCATTATTTAAAATAAAAGCTCATGGGGGTAAGGTGAAAGGTTTTGAGAGGGAGCCTGTCTTCTATAGCAAGGAGATAATGATTATGGTGGCAACAGAACAGAGTGTGAAATAAGTGTAATGGCAATTTGCAGTGCTGTAGACTTACTTTGGAATGATTAAGATTCATTATGTAGTTTTATTATATGTCTGGAATCATCAGACTGACATTTTTTTTTCTAACCAACCATCAGAATGACTTTGGAGCCCTAGAACCATTCTTAGGAAAAAATGGTAGAAGGAAAACAAGTTACTGCAAAATAAATTGAGGCACAAATTTTTACCCTGTTAAGTGCTCCATCATGATTATGTATGTATATGCTTGTATCTTGATGCAAATGTGAAGAATAAACTCTTCTGAATACAGTGGAAGAAGCCTGTGGTAAGAGGAAGCTGCCACTGAATAGATGAACTGTAACAAATTCATACCTTGATTCATTCTGTCGGTGTGATTGAATGACAAACATGCTGTATGGTGTGAATATGTTAATCTCTAGAATGGAAAATTAACAGCTCTTCTGGTGCAGCCTCTTAAAAATGCATCTCTGTGAATAGGGAATCAGTTGGTTTTGATTTTCTGAAATCTGTTCCTGAACGATTTGAATCTTCACCTGACCTTGGAAAAATTACCCTGCTCCACATCGAGTTCCTGCTGCAGAATAAGAGGGAGCTGCTCGCTAAGCAAAAGATTGAAGAAGTTATTATAGGTCTGTACCCATCTTTTGCTGCTGTTTACTGAAAGCTGGATGTAGTTGGCTAAAGTCTTGCATTCTAATTTTCACTTTTTTTCCTTATTCTTGTTTTTCTTTCTCTGTGTCTGTTTTCTATTATGTTTCTTTTACTTGGCAACTTTCAACTTCCATATTGAACAACAGTCACGATCAAGTTTAAGGTTAAATTCGTTTGCTTGAGCAATTCCTCCTTCTTAGTGTAGTCTGTGTGTGACTGATACATGTGGATTAGAAACATTAACCAGTGTAATGTTAATACTTTGTCCATCCAGCCCAATTTATTTTTGTTTGTCAATGTAAGACAGGTTGCATATCCTTGTTAGAGCAGCTGGATAACAGTTAATTTTTCAGGTCTGTTGCACCGGTAGCAGTGTAGTATTTTTGACTACAGATCTGCTGTAAAACAAATCCTATTTCATGTTGCATCTAGCTAGGACCAAGAGCTACATTTACATTGTTCAAGCATAAAAATATTTTTCTCTTACCTACTGAGTATTTTGAGTTTTGCTTGGTTGATTCATTGGTTTGGGTTTTTTTTTTATAAACAGGATATTAAACACTGGCTCCTAGCTGAAACTATTGCTGTGTCTCTGTTTTTTGTTGCAGGCTGTAGAATAGTTCTTAGATGCCTCTCAGTGTGCTTGTTCTTGTAAAGTTCTTGTAAAGTGATGATTTGCAGTATCTTTTCAGGTCATTATACTGGCAAACAGCTGTTGCCTGAAGCCTTGAATCAGCTGCACATCATCTTGTGGGACAGAGCTGCCAAACATTATGAGGTTTGGGACCAAATAGTAGTGTTCTTATTTATATCAGTGAAAATGAAATTCATTTTCTGACCTCTTTGATATGTCTATTTTTGGTTAGAGTGCAAACTGTTACTAAGAGCCTTGTTCCAGCTGGCACTAGTTTTATTTTCATCCATCTGGGTGCTGTTTTCAATTACAAAATCAAGTTTCAGGTAGCCTTATCTTAAGGTTTGTGCATGGGAACAGTTAATGCAAGAATTCCTGCTCCAGCTGGCTCCTATATGGCTCTGGGGCCTGAAGGGATTTGTCCAAGAGTAGTCAAAGAACTGGCTGGTGTCATTGTGAGGCTTCTCAATGATTTTTGAATGATCTTGGGAATCTGGAGAGGTCCCAGTTGGCTGCAAGCTGGCAAAAGTTATCCCAATTTTCAAGAAGGGCAAGAAGGAACAACCCTGGAAACTACAGGCCTGTCAGTCTCACTTCAGTGCCTGGTAAAATTATGGAGATTATTCAGGGAGTTATTGAAAGACACCTGAAGGACAATGCAGTCATTGGTCACAGCCAGCACTAGTCCAGGAGGGGGAAGTCCTGCTTGTCAAACTTGATTTCCTTTTAGGACAAGGTCATCCACCTTGTTATCAGCTGGAGCCAGTTGATGTCATCTCTTTGGATTTCAGTAAAGCTTTGCATTCTGTCTGTCACAGTGTCTAGACAAATTAGAGGGCTGGGCACTCACCAGCTGTAGGAAATCTAACAAGGGAAAGTGCTGGATTCTGCACCTGGAACAACCTGGAGCTTGCACTAGGATATACCTGACTATCTAAATCTTTCATTGATGTGACCTTTTTTAAAGAAAAATTGGGAAGACATAGGCAGTTTAATCACCCAAATATGGCCATGTTTGTTTGGGTTTTATTTTATTTTTATATTTTCTAGGAGAAAAGCTATTCTGAAGCCCTTCACTGGTACAATTATTCTGTCAGCTTCTATACACCTGGGCAGATAGATCAGAACTTGGCTAAGCTGCAGAGGAACATGGCTTCTTGCTATCTTCATCTGAAACAAATTGACAAGGTATATTTAATACATATGTATACATACTTATGTCTTTATTTGCATTGCTTTTATTTTTGAGGAATTGGCTTTTTCATTTCTGGTCAGCCTTTGGTGCTGTCTTCTGGTCTCATCACTTTTGTTTCAAGGGCAGATGTGGCCCTGTCAAACATCTTGAGTTATTCTACAAATATCAGCAATGTAACCAGTAATGTTTTGTGTATATTTGTATTTCTTTTCTATTGCAAATTATATACTAATTTCAAGGTGATGTTGTACTGATTTCCCTTAATCTCTTCTGTGAATAGGCTAAAGAGGCAGTTAAACAAGCAGAAAGGTGTGATCCAAACAGCATCTTTACTAAATTCAGTGTCTATAAGATTGCAGTGTTGGAGAACGATACTGATAAAGGTACAACCTGAAAGTTAAAGGGCCCACTACAAGGAGAAATACCAAATATATTAAAAAATACTAAACAGCTTTAGACTGTTCATCTTGAGAAAGACACAACAGAGGGTAGCTAGAGAAGGGTCCCTAAAGTCATTGAAAATGTCAGGCTGTAGATTTAAGCTGTAAAAGTGGGATTTGGTTTTGTTTAGCACACAATATGTAAGAGGCAGAGTCCATTGCTATATTTGATTTTGTTTGGATGGAGTCTCTGTCTAGGGAAGATAATCCTCCCATGGGCAGAAGCTGTAGTAGCATCCCAGGGTGAGAATCATTCTATACTTTTTAGTATGCATATACAATATGAAACTTAAGGGAACCATTATTGCTGCTCTTAACTTCTCTGGACAGATGGAGCCTGAAGTTACCAAGAAATACATGAATTATTGAGATTACTTACAGAATGTTGTATCTCTGTAGCCTCTTTCTCCTTTATAATGAGTTCTGCTGTTTCATATTTTAATGAGGATCTTAGCTCAAGTAATGAAAATGGAGAAATACAGTCTATAGTTACTTAGAATACAGAGTAATGTGCAGAGCTTATTTTCCAATGAGTTCTCTGCCATTTAATTATTCTCTATACAAATTTTATTGACAGCATAATTTGCTCACATAATATAGAGTGGGAAACACAGCACAGTGTGAACATAAAAGCAGTGGCACCCTTAGCACAAGCCAAGATGTGGGAGCTTGGAATGATGCCCAGACAATGTATTAGAGAAAGTCTTCTGTCTTTGGTAACAAACAGTTACTTAGCAGAACAAAATTAAGGATGTGAGATGAGTATCATTTGTATGGCATCTTTGTTTCCTTAGATTAGTAACTTGAAAGCTTTTTGGCACCTCCCTAGGAGGAAATATGTATTTGAGGAGAGGTGCTGGTATGCTCAGGGTTTCTTGTCTTGGCTTTCCATTAAAAAAAAAAAAAATTATAGCCTTTCATAAGTCATTAAAACAGAACTTTGCACCTTCCAATTGCTTCTATAAAAATGTTGGTTTTCCCTCTGTCTCTTTCAGCTATGGAAGCAGTTATTGAAATGGGGAAACTAGCAGAAAAGCCATCAGAACATGAAGACAAGCTGAGAGTGGATAAAAATACAGGCAGCAACCTCTTGAGTTTAGCTGCCCAAATTGCTTTAGAGGTAGAGCAGATAATGTTGTCTTTGCTTTATTGATATAAGTAGGACAGCTGTAACCTCTTTAACCTGGTCTAGATGTAATATTTCTCTGTATTTCATGGATTTCTTAGGATTTCATGCTTCCACAACAAAGGTCTCACTCAAATGTGTTGTGTAATGCAAAGTAGAAATTATTTTCATGTAGAAGGAAGTGGTATCTTTTAAAATTTTGTCATAAAAATAAAGAATTCTGAGTTACGAATGTTGGCATCTGGATATAACATTGTGCATTTCTGTAAAATTCTCAACAAAACGTTTCATCTTCTTCTGCCTCTGGGATTTGATCTTTGATGTGAGAGGGGGAAGCTGTGTAAAAATACACATAAATCCATGATGAAAGTCCTTTGTCCCTCCTGTTTGCCTCTTGCTTGGTGGCCTGAGCACTGTCTGAACTGGCTGATTGCATTTCAGGCTATCAGGGCTTTGTTCCCTGCCCTGTGAGGCATGAAAGCCTCAGCAACCTGTACTAGTCCTGCTCTTGCCACAGGCTCTTTGTGCAGGGAATCATATGATCTCTCCTTAGAGCTTTCTCTGCACTCTCAGGCAATTCTGTGCACAGTCCTTTGTTCATTTTCCTGCTACTGGGCTGCACAGACTTGGAAAATGTGGTTGCTTTGGGGTTTGTTTTTGTTTGGGGTTTTGTTGCTGTTTTGGTTTGGGTATCTTTTGTGGTAACTGAGGTAGTGCAGTATATACAAAACATGTTTTAATTCTTTTCAGAATGACCAACAAATTGTGGCTATCAAAGCTTTGGAGTATTTGTCTGAACATTTACAAGACTGCCGACAATTATTTACATCTTTAAAGTAAGAATTCAATATACATACAAGGAAAAGCATAAGGAAGAAAAGTGGGATCCTTTCAGGAAAATCAGGGCAAAGTACACCATTGAAAAAAAATCTTGTTTTTTCATTGTTTGTTTTTCTCATATTTAGATGTTTGGTCCGTCTGATGCTATCAAAAATCATGGCAGAAAATTCAGAGAAAAGGTGGGTCTCCTTGAAAAACCATTTTATTGTGGTGGATATGTTGTTCAAATTCTGTAATATTTTCTTTCTGGGCGTTTTTTCTTGCAGAGTAATCAAGAGATTATTTTTTATGCTGGTAAAAGTCCACCCAGATGACTTTCTAGCTTGACCTAATGACATCACATAGGAACATATTTTCAACTTGTCTAAACTTTTCTTTAAATATTTGCTCTTTGCCTACTTCTTTTATTAATGCATATGCCTGCCTGTCAGGCATTTTTAATGGAGGTTGTGAGCTAAGCAATCTCTGTAACTTTGACACTAGTGGGATATCTTTCCAAACTTTGGAGTGAGAAGAGTGGATCTATCCATAACTGGGAAAATATATTCCAACATAAATAATGTGTTCTGTTTTTATTTCTGTTGAAAAAAATTAATCAATTTTCTAAAACTGAATTTTCCCTCAATTCTAGAGATGAAGATATCAACTCCATACTGACTTACTTGAACTTGGGTATGTTTTTGTTTTTGCATTTTCTGGAGTTCTTTCATATGTGAACATTTTATGATATGATTAGATCTATACCAATGAAATATTTAGACTCCTTATTTCAATCCAGACTCTGAACTTCCCAGTGAAATCAATGAAAACTAGAGCTGGAGATTCAATAGAATTGTGAAGTTGGGTCTCAGTGCCACAGGTTTTGCCATCAAAAGCTTGCAGTCCTGCTGCAAGTAGAAGAGATTTAAGAGCAGAATTGAATCAATAAAAGGTTCCTAGAAGAAAGGCCTCAAAGTTGTAATTAAATTTAAACCCCCTTCTTGTGAAATTAAGTAAAACTCCTCTGCATTAGACTTCAGTGTCAGTAAACTTAGAAGAGCAGTGCTTGTTGGCATCTTCTCAAAAATGCTGTTTGAGGCTCCTTCTGCTGTTTGTAATAGGGCTTTCTGAAGAATATTAGATTTAAGTTGTGAGAATAAGTCTTCATCAGGAATTACACAGGTGTTTTGGAAACCTCTGTTTTGTAGTGAAAGGATGAAACTTGGAAATGTTTTTATTCTGCTCCAAATGTGGTACTTTTGTATTGAATTATGTTTTCTGCAGCTCACAAGAAACTTGCTGAGTCTTTCACAGAAGAGAAATTTACAGGGGACATGAGGATCCTTGAAGCTCACTGGTTTAGAAAAGTTGGTAGGTGGCTCCCTCAAAATCTAAACTGAATCTCCTGTCTTTACTGGTCCTTTAAAGGACCTTGGAGTTTGCCTTGAACTACAGACTGGGAAATCCTAACAGCAAATATTATCACAGATAAAGTGGTTTCTAGTGGGAAATGCAGCTGCCATGGGGCTGCCCTAAGCTTTATGCATGATGTTGTCTCTGGATCCTCACTTTGTAGTCTTTGTTACACTGCTTTGGTAAAGGATTAATGCATTTGCTGTCTATAAATAAAAATATAAGCATAGGGTAACAAGCTGAACCAATTTTTCAGATTCTTGCTTCTGTTAGAGCATACAGGAGAGCAAACAGTTGCAATCAGTATCAGAAGACACCTGAATTGCACACATCCTCACAGTGTAACTGTGCTCCAGTAAAGAGCAGCAAGGGAGGGGGAGAAGCAGCAGAGGTCAGATACAGTGACATGAGCATGAATGAATCAGGACCTTTCAAAGGCAGCATTCTCACTCACAGGATAAACAATTCAGAGACCACAAAAACCTGTCCTATAGAATAAATTAATGTGAAAGTTGCTGTAGAATCTAAACATTTAATTGGGTCAAGCTCTCATACATGAATAATTTGATTGCCCTTAGATGCTCATCCATTTATTACTCAGAATTGTGTGATTAATTGCCATGTACTTGACCTTGCTGGGGTAAAATGAAGAATGGTTCAAAACATTGTGGGTTTTTCTTCTTTTACTTTTTAATTTGTCTTGGGAGTACTGTACAACACTTCCCCTCATATGCTGGCTTTGTTAACTAATATAAGAAAATGCTTTTCCCAGTTCATGCTTTTGTTGGCAGGGTGTGTGCTAGAATGGGTTCTTGGTTGTGGTGAAATTATCAAGGCAAAATGTGAAAGCATGAATTAGCTATTTTAACAAATCACTAGTAACAGTATTTCTTGCTGTTGTTAAATGAGCTATTGATGACATATTGGTTCAGAAATAGAATTGTAAGACCTGAACTGCTTTTTCCTAGAGATTACATGGGCACACATGTAGCAGTGCAGATTCTTATTCTAGTCTCTATTTTTGTGTCTTTCTTAGCTTGGAACTTAGCTGTACAGTTCAAGGACAGCCCTGAAAAGATGAGGGATTTTTTTGTGCTGTCTTTCAAGGTATTTACTCTTGCTAATAGCGTTTCTAATTGAGGAATATTTTAATCTGTCTAGTTCTTCTAGAAGTCACATCCATGGTTTGGGTGTCTCCATGGAGACATGCTTGTATGCTCTAAAGATGGAGCATTTTGTCACAAGGAGATTGACTTGTAATAGAAAATGTGTGCATTATTGTCATACTTCACATTCTGTTTCTTAAGAATGTAATAAGATTTCGATGAGAAGTTTCTAAAATAAATGGATTCTGATGTTTTTAAACTGCATCACTAATACAAACATGTTAAGTACTTGAGTCCTAATCTTTATGCAGGACTTCTACCAAACTGTCAGTTTCATATGTGCTTGTAGAGAGGGGACTCCAACTCTGCTTTACACTTTATATTTAAATAATCCTTTAGTGCAATTGTACCAGTAAAATTACAATATGAATATATACTACTCATGACTGATTCCTGCAAGTGTCATAGAGGAGGGTCAGCAATCATCTGTTCACAAGCAAATTGCTTTATATGGGTAAAATTCTCATTACCTTTTCCTATTTTTGGTGTCAGTTGTCCCAGTTTTGTCCCTCTGACAAAGCTGTTCTGATTGCTCAGAAGACATGCCTGCTAATGGCAGCTGCAGTTGATCTGGAGATGGGGAGACAGCAAGTAACACCTTCAGAACAGGTAGGGAAAGACCTCTTAACTATTTCTGCTATGAAATTTCTACCAGTGTAGCATTTTTTTCCTTCTGATTTTGAAGTCCTAGTTTTTTCACTCAGAACAGTGAAAGCAAGGGACTATTTCATAGTTAGAATTGATGCACCTTTCCAGACATCTGTAAGTGTTGAATTTCTGTAAATTAGTTCAGTGTCTTTGAATGGGTTTGTATCAATAAAGGGTCATGGCAGTAACTTCTGAGGAGAATTTCAATTTACAAGATATATATTGTAAGAAGCCTGCTACTAAGTTTGGGTTAGTGAGAAAGACAATTACTGCTATTGCTGAAAGTAGTTACCACTGTGGTTGTGATAAAACTCCTTTTTTTTTATGTGTACATCTTTTTGTGGGTGGGGGGAAGAGGGCATTGTGCCTACTGTGATAAGAAGATTAAGGAAAATACAGAGGTTGTGAAGGAAGTACAGAAGTCTGGTATAGAATGATTGTAGAAAATTCTGTGGAGGGCAATGCACAGCAATTCTGTTGTGGCATTTAGTGGTTTGTCAGTCTCAATAGCACTGTTTTATTCTTGAGAGATAAAACAGTTATGTCCCACAGGAGCATGGATGGTTCTTTCTGGGCCAATGCGAAGTGGCTTTGTCAGAGATGTGGAGGTCTTTGAAAAAGAGAAAAAACCCTCAAAACCCCAGTAAATGGTATAGGCAATTTACTAACTAGGCTGATTCTTCATTTATTTTATAGCTGGTTCTGACATAATTATTCCTTTTGCTTTTAAAACCATGACAAGAATAACTTATTTAATTTTGTAAAATAGACGGAGCTTTTTAGTCAGGCCCTTCAACATCTTCAGACATGCAAGGAGATATGGAAGGTGCTGAAATTAACAGGTAAGCCACAAAGTGTGTGTTCAGCACATGTAACTTAGTCCCAATGTTAGTGGAAAATACAGAGCATGTGGAGTTGCTGTCTCAGATGGAGGTTATTGGAGTAGATAGATGACAGTATGATAACAGCTGAGGTGTTAAGTGACTGTTAGCCTGGCATGCATAGTTCACTTTTTCTGGTAGGATATTGGTAGAAAAATTCCATTACATATTCCTTGAATGGCAAATTCCACTTGCTCTGCTGTTAAGTCTGAGTGCCTTGATGGTTTTCCTGCCTGTTGGAAGCAAGAATTACCTTATAGCAAAAATTACCCTGTGGCTTAGATAAAATCCATCATTACATACAGGGAATCCTTTCTCTTTTGTAGGAGATTTTGCTACAGACCCAACAGACACATTGTTGCTGCTTTATGAATTTGAAGCAAGATCCAAACTGAATGATCCAACACTTCACAATCTTATGGAGTCAGTTTGGGAGCAGCCACAAATAGAGATCAAGACACTTGAAATCATTGCATGTAAGGACAAAGAAGCTTTAATTTCTCTTTCCTGTTCTTTTGAGGTGACCAGGATTATCATGTGTTGTAAAAATGGGTCTAACCATATATATTTTGTCCTGAAGCAAGGATGCCTAGGATCTCAGCAAGGTTAGGAGAGCTGTGTTTTGAAATGACAGATGACATGGATGATGAACCAGAAAGTTGTGATATCTTTCCATTTCTAGACCCTGAGACACTCATACAGCTTGTGAAAGGGTTTTTCAGATGAACTTTTACATGCTCCAAACTGGCAAAGGCCAGAGAATGACCCTCACTGATTCATGCCCCAGTGCAGAAGTTTTGGGCTGTGGACTTTGGATAGATACTTTGAGTATATTTAAGCCACTAAGATAAAGTTAAGTTTCAACTCTAAAGTTTTTATAGTCAATTTGTAAATAGCACTTCTCTACACTGTGCCATATTTTCATTACAAAGTCCTAGTCACAAAAATGTGCTTGAGAATCTAGAGCAGGATCCAAGAAAGATGAGGAGCATTTAGAACTACCATGGCAAGTCTTTGGAGGTGTCCTGTAGGATTGCATAAACACCTTCTGTTCTCCTTGCCTTGAGGGAGAACACTCCAGTGCCTGGAGACACCATTCTCAAATCCTGCTCCTGCATAAGGTTTCCATCTGGATTTTTGTGTTCAAGGAGACAAACAAAACTCTTTAGACAGTGTCCCTCACCCGATTTTTTTGTACTACTGCATTGGAGGTAAACACCAGAGAATTATGAAGCTTCCTGTGCTTCTGCCTTGTTGTCCTCATTGATGATGTGCTGAGTAAGAGGGAGAGAAGCACCAGCTGGTGACCAGCCCATTAAGCAGATCTCTTTCAGTTGTTTTTCACAAGGGATCTGGCAACATGCTGCAATTTATTTTAGTAACCTAAGAGATTGAAGTTGGCTTCAGTAATTTATCTTTTATTCTTCTCTATTTTCTTTTACTTTGAAGCATTAGCAATGGAGCCTCCAGCTCGGTATCCTGCACTGTGTAAGAAAGCTCTCAAGAGTGCACTAAACCTTCACAGAAAGCAGGCTGTCATTGATGCTGTGAAATTTAGGTTAGTGTTATCACATAGCTTTGCCATGAGCCTGTGACTGGAAATGCTGACTGGGTATAAAGCCTGCAATTTGAAAAAAAGTGGATTTTACTTTATATGCAAGGTTCCACTTCTTGCTGGCCAGCCAATGTAACTCTGAATGATGACTGCCTAACAGATGTTTCACCTGCAGTTTGTTTACTTGGCATATTTTCTGGCATAGTCTTGTTTCCAATAAATTCATCTATTGCAGAAGGAAAATGAAAATTGGATCCAGAAGTGGTATCTGATTGTTTCTTGTGAGGAAGGTGTTCATTTCAAATGTTACTCTGCTGAGTATTTCAAAGACAAAGAGGAGAAATTAAGGGTTGAGAAGAAAGCTATGAGTTGTGATCACTAAGGTAGTGATGCCACATAGTACATATGTGATTTATTTAGCATATTTATGTGTTACTTATCCTTTCCAAGTTCCTTGAAGTAAGCACTTGGCAAAGGCAACTGTTGATATTGCCTTTCTCACTTCACCCTCAGAAAGACAGAGCTGTTTTCAGAACCCTGTATTTGTTACTGGTTTTCTGAGGATGCTGCCTATGTAGCTCTTGCTGGGGAAGTTAGAAAAGGTACTTTGTTCTTGCTGTTATGTGTAGCACCCTAGGTAATACTATGATTTTCCTTCTGTGTTACTGTAGAGACCAGCAATGAAAAGAATTAAGTATAATTGCTCTTGACTCTGTTTCTTCACAGTTTGTATGAATAAGATCTGATGGTACAAAAATGCATGTTTCTGCTACAAGAATATGAGTGTGTGAAGCCCCAAGGTAGACATGTCTGACAATCACAGAGACATAACTCAGTGTGCTCCTCATACTAAAAACTGTTTGTGCACATGGTATTTAATATTTCCTCTTTTTCTCTCTTTCAATCCTCAGCAAATGCTTACACAGTTTGATTAACATCTCTTTGCCAACTGGATTGACAGACTTGGATACCTGTGTGCTGCAGGAGGTGTGGGACTACTTTGAGGATGCTCTGAGTGTAGTCAGCAGCACAGTAAGTTGAACAGGAAACCAAGAGACTGGGACATGATCCTGAGCATGAAAAAAATTCTCATTAGACTGAGAACAATTAGTAAAATGAACATTACATAGTGTTATAGGTGGAGCTGCTAAGCCTTCTTCAGTAAAAGATACACTGAAGGTGTAGAAAAGTCTCTTGGATATTTAGGACTGCATTACAAATTTCCTTGGATTTTGTAAGGGCTTTTTCTCTCTTTGCTGAGGAGGAAAGAACCCAACTGTTTTCTTACTCTAAAATTAAACTCTAGCACACTCTTTGACTTGTCAGTTTTGAAGTGAAGATTCTATTTTCTGATGAGGTGCTGCTGCTTGTTTGCTACCTCAGGATGCTTACCCAGAGATGGAGATCCTTTGGTTGATGACAAGAGCCTGGAATACAGGAATATTTCAGTACACTGTTGGTAAATACAAGGAAGCTGAGCAGTGGTGTGGATTGGGAATGCGGTTCCTCAATCACTTAGGCTCTCTGAAGAAAACCTATGAAGGCCATGTGAGTGTGCACAGGGGCATTTGAGGATATGGGATTGGCTGGCTGGCCTGAATTTGAGATGTGGATCTGGGTGAACTCTTTAGAGTTTCAGGAGAATCATGGTATCTAAATATTCTGGGGGAGCCTGGTGCTAAAAGATTTTTTCAAAGTGAGGCCAGAAAAGTTTTGATAGACAATAGAGAGAATAATGTAGCATTCTTTTACTGGAAGGATTATGGGAAGGGGTGACTGGAAATAAATTCTGACTGTTTGTGGCCATGGGAGAACTTTGTACCTTTGCCTGCTTTAACTAAAGTCAAGGTGCTGTACCAGTTTAGTTAAATCAGCTGATATATACTTTCAGGCTTGGTTTCTAGTGTAATCTCATGTTTTATAAATAGGGTTTAAAATGGTGTGAAGAAAATCACTAAAGCTCATCTCCTCAGGTGTAGCTTACCCACTTCCTATGAGGGAGAAATTTCCAGCCTAGCACCTACAAAGTGTAGGTGACACTTTGCAATGACACTTTTCTTACTCTGTCACAAATAAGCCTCTTCCTACACCTTTTGGCTGCTGCTCCTGTCTGGTTTGCAACCCAGTGCAGCCTGGCTGGTGTCACCATTCATTCTCTTGTGTGCAAGCTGAGCAATCAAGGGCTTGGCTGTAACTCTTACACCATTTAAAATGCATCAGTTTTAAAGCAATGAGAGCTGACAACAAGAATCTTCCCCATCCTCCACATCAGTTCCCAACATCTGTTATTTGGTGAATAGGTTTATGTGCTGGTATAAGACTCACATATAAACCATGCTTTATGACTGTAAATAAAACCACTTTTGTTAGGTTGCACTGATCTTTTTTTTTTTTTTCTAAACCACTGTATTTAAACCTGTGCCAAAAATCTTTACATCAATTTGAAATTTCAGGTCTAGAAGCTGGTGGTAGTCTCCCACCTCTTCCCTTAGCTCTGTTCTGTGTTAAATGATACATTTAGTTAAATTATACACTTGGTTAAATGATACATTTTTATCCATCCTTGTTGACAACTGTGGTGCTCATATTCTCCAGATGGTTGGCCTTTATAGTGAGGTTCTGGACAAGCTGGACAGAGCAAAAGGATTTATTCCAAATGAAGAATAATGACAGCCACAACGACAAAAAAAGGAAAGCAGTCTCTCTTGGAAGTGTTCTGCTGAATGAGAGGCTGTTAGCTCTGTGAAGGCACAGGGCCATGGGAGCAGTGGGAAAGAAACCAGGATCTCCTTCTTGTTGGCAAAGAAGTTATGTACTTTTTAGGAAGTGTTTATTCAATAAATGTAATTGTTTTCCTCTTGGGAATAATTTTCATTCTCTGGAGCTATTTAACAGTTAGAAATAAATATTTAAGTTTTACATGAGATGCCTCTGCTGTTGTGTAACAGGTTGGTTTAAATATCTGGTTTTAGTAGCAAATGGCAATGAGCACAATGAAAGTCTTTAAAAAGTCTTCCATCTCCTCTGGTTGTCATAGCTGCCTTGCAGCATAAATATTTATCAGATTGTTTAGTTTCCAGTCCATTTCAGTGAGGACAAGAATTCAGAGCTGTTTACTGGTTTCACAGTCCCTTGGAACAGAAAAACCAGCAGTGCTGAGCTCAGGGCAGAAGCTGCAGCTCTCCCTGGCAGTGCTGGGAGGGCTCCTGAACCCTGGGCCAGGCAGGTGCTCAGCAAGTCTGAGCACATCTGGGACGTGGCTGTGGGGAAGCTGGGGCTGAGCCAGTGGGGAATCCTCTGTGTGTGAGTGTGGGGTGTGCAGGGAGCTGGGTGGGGACCCCCTGGGTCACTGCAGCTGCCACTGAAAAGGGGCTCTGCTCCCAGTCTGGGTGATGACACTGGGACCCCAGGAATGGCATCTGAAGGGTCACACAGGGGAGCTCCTTAACAGGAGCATGGATCTGTTTAATGTCAATTCTCCATTTCATGGTGAGCTGAAATCAGTTCACCAGACCTAGTTTGGGTCTCTGAGACACTGCTTTCAGATCTCTAATGCACAATGTGCTGCCTGTTTAACTAAGAAATACCTTTAAATCTGTAAAAATCCAGGTCTCAAATGAAACAGAAAATTCTTCTGGAGTCAGAGTTTTAGGAGATCCATGCTGCATTACAACACTGGGGGACTCTAAATGATGCCACAAACTCAAAGGTTTCCCTCCTGCCTGCAGCATCTCCTTGGGAGCCTGCTGGGCTGCCTGTAATTACTGCTGAGTTCTGACTTGCACACACATAAACAGGTAAAGGTGTCACACTGTACCTGGTGAGAAAGGTCATGTTTGCCCAGCAAGTGCAAGGAGGTAATTATATACAGCCATAGAAGGCAGCAAACACTAAATGTGGGTTTGCCTACAGCCAGAATGATTTGAATTTTTTCCTTGCAGATACTCTGATTTCTTTTATGCTACACACAGCCCTGAAGAGCCCGGATCAGATACGTTTCAGACTCTGCTGATAGTACTCATCTCTTCCTGCACATTTTTACACAGTACATTTTATTCCAGGCTTAGTATTTACCAAAGGGTTTAAGTAGGGCAAGAATTCCTCTCCTAGTTGAATCAGACTGTAATTAGCTGCATTTCCAGTGGCTGTTCCCAGTAGGTTGTTTTTGTGCAATCACACTTTTGCAGGTGTTTTCTGGTCCAGATGCAGGCTGGTCCAGGTTATTTTACCAGGCTAAAGGCTGCTTTACAGTTCAGTACCCCATTGGGGGTGACTGTGGTTTATAAATGTTTTCTAAAACAGCAACAGCTGACCTGTAAAAAAAAACCAACGGAGCTGTTCATTCCTCCCCCATTCTTACCTTTTCATTGATCCCTGTTTTCTTTCAGCTCAGAGATGTGTGCTCATCCCTGGATGTGCACAGAGGGCTCCAGAGGGTGGCATTGCAGCTGTACTTTCCTATTTACACATCACTGTGGAAGCTCCAGGGTGTGCTGGACACTGGCTCTGTACTGCAGAGCCCTCCCTGCCTCTGAGAACACAGATGGATCCTCCAGGGCAGGAGGTCACAAACTTCCCTCCCTTTTCCCCAGCCAGTATTTTATGCCCCTTTCCCCCCTCTAATTTGACTTCTTAACCATTTGGGGAGGAGCAGCAGTGCAGAGGCACAAGGGAATTGCAGTGTGAATTGGGTGAGTCCAAACCAACACCTGGGGTTGATGGGGCAGGGAGCCTGCCCTGGGAACAATGTCCTTGCTGAGAAGATCTGGGAATGGGGCAGGGCAGAGAAGAGCCCAGCTCAGCTGCTGGGCCCTGGAGCCCTTCTACCACCTCTCACCCAGAGCACCTGCAGCAGGAGCAGGGCTCTGTACTGAGGGGGCACCTCCCAGCAGACACGGGGGGAAGAGCTTTGCTCCCACTGCTGGGGCTGCACTGAGCATCTGGGAGAGGCAGGAAAGGAAGAGGGCCTGGCCTGGCCACTCAGAAGTGGTCACAGTAATCAGAAATGAAGGTAATTGGAGGAGGGCTGAAGCTCATTAGAGGATTGGGCAGGAGATTTTGTCAACTGTAACTAGGGGAGGAAATCCCACAGCCACCCCCGTGCTGAGTCAGGTGTGGCCCCAAGCAGGTATTGCAGGTCCCATAGGTGCTCCCACGTGCTGGTACCATTCAGAGATGCTGCACTGATTGACTCTAACAATGTGTAATGTTTCCCTTAGGGTTAAAAACCCTAAGGGTAAACAAATGAACCCTCATTTTGGAGGCAAGGGATATAAATAAACACTGAAGGTCAAGGTGTACCCATGGATTCTTGAAGGAAAGAGACACCTTTGACAAGATGATAAGTTTACCTGCTTCACAGCAGATGCTACAGTGCCATGAATCCTGCTGTGACAGCCTGAGGAAAGCAGAGAACAGCAGTTCTTGAAGATTGTGCTGCCAAGCATCATTAGCAACCACAGGCGTATCTAAGACAGCTCCATCAATGGAGAAAAAATGTTGAGAAAATTATAATTACATTCTTTTAAAGCCCCTCTTCCAGTAGCCTCACAGCACAACCTGTGCTCTCTTGCTTAGCTAAGACAGCTAATTAGCCAGAGCTGCAGACAGAAGCACAGACATGTTTTCTAGAGCACAAGCAGCTTACAGTCTAATTTTCTAGAAGTGTCTTAGGGCAGATTAGTTTCATGCCTGTTGCAGGCAGCTTTAGCAGGACATCTTAGGAGAGAAAAGAACCACCTCCTACATTTCACAACTGGACAGGACCATTTTCAGGACAATGCTCTGCTATTTTCTGGGCCAAGATTTTGCAACTTATCCTTAGCCAGGAAAATGGGTGGTTACAGCTTTAACAGAGCCAGTTCCTTCTCCAAGCCACCCTCTTTCTCTTCACATGGTGTTTCTCTTCCAGAGCTTGTTCTGCCTTACAGGAGTGACAGGTTTATGTGAGAAGGTAACCCCGTGTTCCTCTCCCCCCTGGAGCCTGAATGTTTTGCTGTCACAGCAGATGAGGTGACACAGGAGCTCAGGACAGGCACAGGAGGGTGTCTGCAGCCCCACACGGGCTGGGCACAGCAGCAACAGACAATATTTCTGTGCTGCTTCTTCCCTGACTCCAAATCTGTCAGCAGGCAAGCAAAGTTTGATTTTTGAGAGTGGTAATTCTAGCATCAGGTCTGCTTAGCAAGTGCTAAATCTTCCAGTGTTTTGTGGACAACCACCACCACCGGGCTGTTGATCTGATCAGTTAAAGGAGTTTCTAAATGGTTTTGAATTTGTCCAGTGAGCTTCACAAACTCAACAGTCAGCAAACTGTATGCCCATGCTCAGTGGGTACAATATCCTTGTTCTCCTGAAATCACAATTTGCTTCCCTTCTGTGCAGTTTGAAAGTAAAAAATTTAGTATTTAAAAACCAAACCCCTTCACCCTTCCTTCAGCTCAGCTAAATGACAAAGCAGATTCAGGCACAAGAGTACTGTGACACTCCTTCAACCACATTTATCTCTCAGTGAACACTCCTTTTCTTTGCATTTGAAGGTACTAAAAATTATACCAGTTGTCTTTACAACTTTTCTCCTCTCTGATATTTAAACAGCATGTTAAAACTAAAAAGAAGTTCTACATTAGCTGGACTATGTATTTACTTTGTTGTCCTTATATCCAATTCAAGAACAATTACATAGGAGCCCATGGACCCTATTATTTGTAAAGCAACCCCCCCAGAATTCAAGCCATGATCCAGAATAGTTTATGGTGTTGTGTCATCAGGCCAGACTTAACCTGGGTTAAAACAACCCAACCAAAAGCACTTTTCAGTGGCTGAGTTGCAGCTCTAAATAAACCCACTTCCTTTCTATATTCTTTTTTTTTTAAGGTTTCCTTTTTCCACTAGGCAAGTTCTCAGGCATCACCTTTTATACTACAAAGGCTATTTTCCCCCCCCTAAACCAGTGTCAACAGTGTCTATGTCAGTTTGCCATAGAGAAACCATATCAAGAGTTGCTAACACCAGCACCAAAAAAAAACCAGATCTGGTACACAATGAAGGACTCTACAAGAAGGTCTCAAAGACAAGAGTTCTTTGCAACTCTCTGTTTATTAAAAATATATGTCTCCTTGGAAGAAACACTGTTAACCAACTACTGTTGTCATGATTGATTCAGTACTGTCAGCTATGCCATGGAGTACATCATCTTTTCTCCACGTGACTCGAGAGAGGGAGACAGGCTATTAGGAAAAAACAGAAAAAAAAGAAAAAAAAAAGACAAAAAAAAGATAGGAATGTGTGACTAGCACCTTAAGGACTTTTGTTTCACTTACTCCACTTCTTCAGGGACCGACATTTATAGCAGCTGGAGCAGGACCAGCGGGGCAGGGGCTGTGTGCCCGGCAGGAACCCATTGCCAAAGTTCTGTGTGCTCCTTTAGGGTCGGTCCCAGCGGCAGCAGAATCCTCCTGCCTCCACTGTGCTCACAGCTGGGGCTCCTGCAGAGCCCTGTGCTGGCCCCAGAAGCTGCTCGGTCCCTGCAGGGCTCCTTGGGATGCAGGGTGGGCAAAGGAGGCTCCTCCCCAGGCGGCACAGGGACAGCGTCACTGACTGACACACACAGAGCCATCACCCCGGGGACAGGGAGCACAGCTCGTCCCTGCCAAACAGAGGCAGGAGGAGACTTACCTGGGCGTGCTTGGACAGCGACCTCCTGTGCTGTGGGGTGGCACTGTGTGAGGAACAGCATCCACCAGCTCTTGGTAAGGTGGGAGCACTGGGACTGGACTCTGAGTGCCCAGCACACACTCCTCAAAGGCCACAAGAGTGTCCCCAGCTCCACACAAGGGTCTGGAGCCCCACTCAAGCACAGAAGCCAAAGTGTCCTCAAAGACAGACATGTCTCAGCTTAGGGCCAAGTGTCTCCATGCCTCTC